TCGGACCAACCCACGTGCACATCCAGAACCAGAAAGAACTGCTGGCCTACAGGGTTAACTCTGATCACATGTTTCATTTTTTTCCATTTGGTTCATACTCTACCAAAATTTGTTTTGGTCTTATAATTCGTCTTATAGATTGGTAACTTCATGAGGTATTTTTTGTTTGCTCTGTCCTCTGCAAAATAAATAAATTCAGCTGTCAATAACACAACAGGTGAAATCATTAAAAAGTATTTTACCCTCACTACCATGGGTTTAACCTTTAACTATCACATAATTTCGTTCTACAAAATTTTATTTTTAGAGCTCCAAGAAACGATTTATAGTATTTAGTGTTAAAATCAAGAGATTACAAAATGTATATCCAAAATTTTGGGTTTAAACTTCATTGAAAAAGAAGGAAATTTCAGAGATTTGAAGGTAATTAATGCAGTTGAAATGAATCATCCGAAGTAGTCTAATGTCTTGCAGATAATGTTTTTACCTTTCGAAATAAACAAGATTATCACAAACACGCATATAAATATTGAGGCAACAAAAGAAAAAAGTATAAATTTGTTGCCAAATTTGTAATTTTCAAAACTTCGGCCGGAGAAGAAAAAAATGAGCGGCTTCGCGGTTTCAAAACCGGAGCAGAGTCTTTATCGTCTCTTCGATTTCGCAAAGACGGCCATAATCAACATCTTCGCACATCCTTATACCACTGTCTCTAACAAACCCTTTTTCTCTCAACTCCATTTCCTTTACAAAGTCTCATCCTTTATGTCTCTCTCTGCGTGTTTTTAGGTTTGCGAATTGTACTGTGGCGGAGCTCCCGACACTGACAAGTGGGAAGCTGCTCCGATTGGTCACTACATCGGAATTGGTTAAACCCATGCTCAGTGTTAGATACTTGTATAGTATCAGTACGTCTTCCTCGGAGACTGATGAGTTTGCCCTTTTTTCTTTTCTTTTTGGGGTAAGTAGATACATCGTCTTCTGGAATTTCTTCTGTACGAGAAGCTTGGGAGAGTCAAAGGAAGAACTACGATGTGGAATTTTTTGAAGCTGATCCTTCCAAGGCAAGGCCTTCATTATTAAATTTCTTTTACCATGTGTATCAGCTAAGCTAAAGTAATCTGGAGCACAATTCTTAGTTTTTTACTTCATTTGGTGTCACAGGATGATCTTGAAATCCAGCTACAGAAGAAGTTGGGGCAGGCTGATTTAGTTTCCTGTTGGCGCCATCTGCAGGTTTGAGATTTTGTCGTTTGTTGTCTCTGCGCCTATGAAAAATGTAGCATATCAAGGATGTGATGGTCTAAAATCCCTAGAAAATCTTCTTTCTGTAGTTATGCTTTGAAACTGAGGAGAGTGCGAGAAGACTCCTTACTAATGTAGCATGTTTATTGAAACCAGGGGGTTATTTTTTCGGTATTACTCCTGACTCGTCTACGATCTGGTAATGATGTTTTCCTGTCCTCATTGTCGTAACGTGAATGCCCGTGGTGATATTCTATGTCCTTCTTGCTCTTTCTTTTCCAAATGATTTTCTGCCAGTTTGTGTCCTGAAACCTATCACGAAATACCTTCCATCAAGTTTGTTGTGTCTAATATCAAATGCGTGTACATGAGAAAGCATCTCAATTGATTGTAGGGTTATATTCTTGGTTTCAGAGTACTTATATTGTGTGAAACTGTCTTCTCTGTTTAGATAACTCGAATTGGTAAATTTGAAATGTCCTAAATTCCTAATGTTTCCTGTGAATTGACACTAAGGTTTTCAATGCATCAATTTCAGCATTTGAGTGCCTATATATTTGTTCAGTTGGAGTGCGCTCCTTAACATTCTGGTCAAACAGGGCTAAGTACCAGAAAAATGTTGAAGCATACCACAACAGAAGCGGTGCAAAGCCTAATGTATTTCCCAACTACATTCGGTCTGAAAGTTACATGATCACTTTCGAACTGGAGGAAGAAAAGTGAGCATTTTGTCTGAGATCAATTCATTTTGCCATCAAGTTCCTTTTCTGAAATTGGACTGTTTGTCATTTTCTTCTCAGATTTCCGCTGTTTGGAAAGAGGTACCAGCTGAAATTTTCTGGTGACAGTGCTTCGGAAGACCATTGCTTGGTTCACTTCCCAAGCTTAATCAGGTGGGCTCTCGGGCACCATGATCTCACCTTTTTTTTTTATTTAGAAAAATGTAACACTAATTGGATGATATGAAATTACCATGTCAACAATGTGTACTTGTTGAACTTAGGGCTTGTATTTGTTCTTAAGCTCTTTAGTAAAACTAGATTTCCATTGCAATCCTACTCGTGATATTGCTTCTAGTTGAGCTACAAATGACATCTAGCTTGTATAAATCTTTGATTCTCGGTCATCTAACTTATTCTTTTGTTGTTTGCTATTCAGGTTAGCGAGGGAAGCTGGCCTTGAATATGTGGAAATTCAAAGTTTAACAGATTTTTATGATGATAACAGGTTTGAAAGTCTTCCATAGTTGCAGATTCTCAATCTTTTATCATGAGCTTTTGTATGTTATAGTTACTCCTTTCTAAGGTTGTATAACATTGCTGATGCTGTTCAACTCTTCTTGTCAGAGCCCAATTTGCAAGCTTGCTGATGAATGCTGGCCCGAACTTCGTTGACCCTAGGGGAAAACTTCTTCCACGAGCATTTGATTTGTTAGGTAACCTTGCCATCATCTTATACCAATCATATCATATATAATCTCCAGTTTTGATATTTTCTAGACACATTTATATCCTTATTTTGCACAGGGCTCTATGCAACATTCATATTTCAGAAGCCTGACCCAGATCTCGAACCTCCTCTAACGACCCCAATACCTTTTGAGAGCTCCAATAATCATGATGAGGCAAGTGCCTTTTTCTTGTCATATCTCGTTCTATACAAGTATAATAAAATTACTCTGAAACTTCCTTTTCACTTGAGAAAAAAAGTCTGGCCATAGCTCTAGCATGGACTGTATAGTTTTTAGTTTGTAACACAACAATGCTTCAGTCTCCAGTTCCTTGCCCGGATGTTATTGTAGTTGATCCATTTATTAAATTGTTCTTCACGACTTTGCAGAGAGAATTGCCGGTGATCACGGTGATCACTGATGCAAGTGCACCGGCAGAAGATCCATCACAAGGACTAGGGAAGATTAGTGAACAAAAAGGAATATTGGGACCAGGCCCTGCTGATTTACGTTTCTCTGAGGCAATTTGATGCCTTTTTTCTTTAGGAAGATGTACTGCTTTGTTGATGTAGCGAAAGTGGTATATAAGTAGTGACACAGATGAGGTAAAGCCAGCGCCTGGGTTTTGCTATCAGATCACGTGTTCCATGGATTTTTAACAAACATTTCCAATTTTCCACAATATTCAACAACACTTGACATTGATAGTTTTCTTTCTTTGATTCGAAAATAAAATGAGCAACAGATTTAAAGATCCATCCTGGTACAGTTCACTTCAATCAGAATCAGAGTCATGCCTCCTCTTTTTCTCCTTCTTCTCTTTCTTGTGCTTCTTTCTATCATCTGAATCACGAGTTCGTCGCTTCTCATGCCTTTCACGTTTGTCACGCCTATCATGTCTCTCTTCCTTCTCTCTCTTTGCAGGTTTCCTCTCCTCATGCCTATCCTTCTTTTGGTCCCTCTCAACATCATCTGGTCCATCTTCAACAGTTTTGACCCCTGATGTATCTGCAGGCAAACGTGCTGGCTCTGCATCTTCTTTCTGAGAGGATGCAAGGGTGCTGGGATCTTCCCAAGGTCGTGGTGCTCTGTACAGAGATAATAGAAAGAAATGTGAGAAAAAAGGACAAAGGTAAACTACCAATAAAGCATAAAGCCATTAACATAGTTAAAAATTAAGAGATTTTCAGGCAGAAATAAGAACTTACTTTGCATAGCCAAGGCCATGAACCCACACAGCATCAGCATTCCCTGCACCCAAGTCCTCTGCTGTTGAACCCCTCTTGACAAGTTCAGTAAACTCTTGCTTATCAAGGCGATTTCCTTGTGGTCTTGTAGAGGACTTTGGCGCCAAGCCAAGAGCCTCCCTCATGGCCTGTTCCTCTTGTTCCTTAACTCTTTGAATCTCCTCTTTCATAGCATCCATCTCAGAACCCTTTTGCTTTTTATCTCTAGCATACCAGTGAAGATCTTTACCTGTTCAGTTGTTGTACATGAAGAATGAACGTCAGTCAAAACTCCGTAAACTGAAGATTAATCTACAAAATCTATTAGCTAGAAAGGAAAGGAAAAGCAAGATACACTATACGCAGATTCCTCACAGAGAAAAGACGAAGGCAGTGAATTTATCAAAGGAGTAACTAAAGTAAAACAACCATTGACTGCCCAAACTCCAATGATATTGTCAAGATGACTAGTTACAACTTACAACCACAGAGAGTGTGTCATAAGATAAGAAAAAGTACCTTTTTGCCATCTTCCAACAGGGGCTTTGATACTGTGACCCAAATAGTTCTCCCTATATTTATCAGCCTTGACTTCATCCCAACTGAATTCTGCACATTTATAAACAAATCCAATTAGTAATACAGTTTTTAACTATGCAAAATCATTATAAGCAGCTCATGTTCTACATCATTGATTTGCTTCTCGTAAACTCATCTTCTCCCCACAAATGCTTATAGACAATTCAATCCAAACAATCAAATCATAGATCGTTCATGAAGGAACCACCCCAAAACAAAAATCATAAAAATAGCAGAGAAGAACCAACAAGTTGGATGATACATAGAAACCCTAAAAGTTGAGAATTTTATGTCGGATCTTGTAAATTGAAGCAAAATTCGAAACCAACTATAATGGAAACCTACGATCTCGACCACCGCGAACACCTCCCCTCGTTGGATGATACATCGAAACCCTGAAAGTTGCAACCTTGATATTTCCTCAGCCTGAATCTGATAGATACGAATGGAGAAGGCAAGAAACGGGATTGAAGAAGAAGGTGATTATTATTATGGGCCTAATAAGGCTTTAGGCCCATTTGGGGTTAAATAGAAACAAAAACATGAAAAGACACGTGTGACACATGTCGTCTAGAAAGGAAGAGAAGTGACCACCAGACAATTGTGAGCCTAATCCAACCGATTCATTTCAAAACCCTAAACTCAAAATCCGTCTCGGTGTATCAACAATGGCTGAAGAAGCTCAAGATCGTGCTAATGGCTCTGATTCATCTCCTCCCATAAAGTTACCTCCTTTCATCACCAACCTATTCGCCTTTCTTCAACCTAAGCCTCCTCCTGCTACTGTTGATGCCAATGCTCCTAAACCCACCAGCGAGAAGGAACCTCAGAAGTCGACCTACGAGACTGTCTCTTTCCCTTACACTCCACCCAAAAGCGCAGAGCCAATCAAGTTTGAGGCTGAGCCCAGCTCTGGCAGGACTTCTAACTCCGTCATCCTTTGGCAGGTGATTTACTAAGATGTGTATTGAAGGTTTCTCCTTGATGCGATTTGAGTTGGGTTTGGTGAGAGGTGCTTTGTTATGTTATTTATGAGGGGAACAATGGGAATTGTAGGGACCATGGCTGTTTATGGTAGATGTTCATAATTATGACTCTCTGACTCAGATTATGGCTTCTTGTTTACTTGAAGCTGTTCTGGCTTTTTCCTCTCTATCAACAGGCAAATAGTTCGGTTGATTTCTTCCATGTTTCCAATGTTTCACTGGTTTCAGTTAGTTGCAGTGTGCTAGATTGAATGTTGAAAATGGTTTCAGTTTTTGTTATGCTTATGTAGCTTTTATCTTTTCGATTCCTGATATTGTTGTACGCATTATAACGCTTTAGAGGACCTCTAACAGTTTGATGGAGTAGAAGGCATGTTATTTGTGTTCTTCTCGCTTTCCTAACTATTCAACAGTGATCAGTTTTCACAGTGGATTGCAAGCTTTGCAGTAATCAGAGCGAGCTTTCAAAGGCTGACTTGATATTTGAATAGCGTGACTCTAGATGTTTTGGTTGTCGTGTGCTTTATTTGTTCTGATTATGTTCATACCCTGCAAAAAGTTGAATTCTTTCATGATTAATTTAGTGGAGTATTCGCTAAAACTATTTCAGGTATATGCACTTGGAGGGTTTCTTGTCCTGAAGTGGGCCTGGGCAAGATGGAACGAAAGGAAGGAGACAAGTGACAAAAATGAGGCGACGGGTGATGATGACCAACCTTCTAATCAGAAAGATGATGATGATCAATCTTCTGATGGGCATGAAGACTAGTCATATTGCATGAACACGATGAAAATGTTGCCTATTTTGGTTCTGTATAGCAAAAACACCGAAAACTTCACCATGAAGATTTCTTATTTTCCATTGTATGTACTCGAATCTTGAGTTTCATCTCCTTATCTAAGGGGACTTGAAATCTCTTCTCATGCTGGCAAATTTTTTTTTTTTACTGGACAAATCTCTTCTTGTGTTGTGTTCTAGTGATGTTGCTGTGCAGTATCTCCTTGGTTCGTGACTAAATTTGATCATGTTAGGGTTTCAGTAGACGTTGCCCTCATTCGCCTGCAAACTATCATAAATCGAACAAATGAACACACAAACATAATCAATAAAACGGGATTTCAATACATATCAACGACCTAGAAGGCCCTATAATGACCACGTTATGAAGTCTTCTATACAGTATGACGTTATACAAAGCTGATATATTCTACAAACAGTGTATACAACAACCACAACACTCTACAAAGATCCAACAATCATATCACGGCTTCACAGACATCCAACAGAATCACACTCGCCTAAATAAGCCATCATCTGAACCACTAGTAGGAGGCAGCCCAATTGGGCGTGTGTAATAAGGAGTTGAATACAATTCTCTACTACTTAGAACTGAATCCGGATGCAAGCTTCGAGTAGGTGTCACAGGGGTATATGTACTTACTCGTCTATCTAAATTGAAGCTAGTTGAGGATACTTGGTTACCTTCAAAACCAGATGTTCCACCAGAGATTGCACTGCCTGAAACACTTGGTGTGCCTTTATTAAGTCTGAAGCCTGGAACATCAATCATCGGTGGACCATCTGCCCTGAAGCTGGACCATAGTTTTGGTCCACCGATGTATGGGGTGGTCAAAAGTCGGTCATCCACTGACAAAGGAGGACTGGTTTCTAGTTGGCTTTGGAAGCCAGTATTTAGGAGATTGTTTGAGGCTGTTTTGGTGAAAAGCTGATCTCCAGGTACTAGGGGGATGTCTCGCTCAGGCATATGGGTAACCATAGCGTTCTGAGAACTCGAAGCTAGAAAACAGTTCCTATTTGAAGCATCAGATGAAAAATCAGTGGGTACACGGAAAAGTCCAGCACAGCCAACAGGAAACTCTACCATGGACCCAATGCTGGAAGCAGGGAGAGATGGTTTAGTACTAAATGCTGGTTCTATCGGTAGTGCGTACGTGTTCATATATGAACCTGGTGTTGAAGGATATGAGCTTTCAGAATGACAATCAGGTTTTCTGATATGTAGGCTATTGACTTTCTCTTGCAGAGACAACTTCGCTTGCTTTAGCGCAGTGAGTACAGTTTCACAAGTATCAGACTTCCCCTCTTTCAGTGGAACTAATGGATAATCTACTTTCTGGATGGCAGTGGTAGTACTGTCAAAGGAACCACCTCTCGAGTTTGGTTGTGTTACAAGAGGTGACTGAATAGTTGATGAAGAGTGCTCATTGATACCTTTACAGCTCTGTGGATGGGAGTACTCACTTTTAGGGCTCTCAGAAACATGTTTTCTTTTGTCTCTAGAAGAAGAAGCATCTTGTTCCAGAGATCTGGAACCACAACTTTTGCAGCACTTATCAGGTGACGTTACTGAATTATCAGGTGAACCATGTGACAAAGTTTCAAACGATTCCCTAAAGTCAACTTCATTAGCTATAGACCTTGTATCACGGAGTGAAGGGACTACTGTGGAACCTTGAAGCGGAGATTGGGCTTTTTCCCCGTTACTTTCATCCGTCACATCAGAATGGTTTCCTACGTCACATAAATCCTGCAAGATTGGACAAGAACTATTGTTCAGGATTTCCAGTGAACTTACTGAAAAATTTTCTTAGATTGCTAACTAGTTGATATATATATGAGCGGAGACTAAATTCAATTTTTGTGAACTAAAAATGATCTCATAGATAATGTCTTCAGGAACAAGATGGTTATATAAGAGAGTAAATACAAAGAAGAAGAAAAGCAAACATTTTTCATAACTTCCTAACACAATGGAGAGAAGACAGAATAAAAGAGTCAATGTAAACGCATGCAGATTTCTTGATGTAGACTGCAACATCTGTGCAATTATCAACGTCACATAAAAGAAACTTCGTTGGTTTATTCATATAAGCACAAAATATACCATAATCACAATAGATGAACTAGTTCAAGAGTATGAATAAGATCCCTCAAAAATTTCAAGAGGTCAAAGCCTGAGACATGGGGCATACCAGGGCAGATGATTTATTCTCTCTGAAGTTTTTTTCCCATTCCCTTTGAGTCTCTTCCATATCTTCAAAAGATCCGATAACTTGAGCACGGTTTTCTAATGCTCTCTCCAAGTTGATATCCGTACTGTTTTGTTTCTCTAAACCATTTGAATTTGACAACTTGTTCAAACTTTCGTCTCCCTTCACGACAGCAACATCCACCACGGTGCTGGATGCATCTTCATTCGCTTGAGGAAGCATTTCAGTGCGAACTCCATTTTCTTGAAAATCAACCGGATTTCCATCTCTCTTGTAATCGTCAGATACATTTCTGGAATATTCAAAAATGTTGGTTACTCTAATACACAACATATATTTTCACAATTGCTTTACCAATTAATTCATCAGGTCGATTTACTATGTATATAATAAGAGATAAAGAAACCTTCAATCTCAAGTTTCTAGGCAATACTTGCACAATTTGTTTTTCGATTGTCATGAACACAATAATAACCACTCATAAATCACTGAGCAGCTAAAGATAACAAAAACAGACCTTGATTCGCCACGTCTAATTTGGCGACAAGATCTTCCTTGGCGGTGTCTAGGAGAGGAAAAATAAGCACACTCGAAACCTCTATGATGTCTCCTATTCCGGATTTCCTTGATCTTGTCAGAAGAACCTGGTTCCGTCCTACGACCTTTCCAGGATAAACTTTTCCCTAAAACTAAGAAACAAACGAATCTCCGACAGTGAGAGTTGCTCAAATCTCATTAAAACCTTAAAATGAGAAACTTTCCACCTCTCAGATAAAAAAAACTCTCACCTGAATTTGTCTGAGAGTAGCATTCATGTTCAGAGTTTGAATCATAATCATCAGAGACATCATCAGTATATCCATTTTCCTCTAGGATCGCAAGAACATCAGCAGTTGCCTGTTCTGCTTTCTTTCTCTGTAAAGACACAATCTTGAGCTGTTCCTCCAACTCAGCTACCTAAAGATTTAAGACAGGACATAAGACTAAAGAACATTCCACTGGATCATACCTACAAATTATAAAAGAACATACTTTATCAGCGAGTCCATCAAGCTTTGCTCTAGCACTCTTGGAAACAGCTCTTTCAGCAAGTAAACGTGCACGCAGAAACTCAATAGTCATTGAAGTAGGATCTTGTGCCTCTGTATCAACACACCTATAAAAATGCACCAAAACCAAATCTAAATGTGATTCGATTAGCAAAACGATCCTAACCATTTGGAAAAACAGACAGAACTATACCGATGATGATCTAACTTGTCTTGATTCGCCATCGTCGAGAAAACCAAAAAAGATCTGCGAACTTCGAAGATCGTTTTGAAACTGAGCCTGCGGTGTGAAGAAGACGTCTCTCTCTCTTTGAGTAATCAAACTACACAAGTCAATGGAGATAGGTTTTTTAATCTTTAATTAAAGTAATTTTCTCTCTTCTCATTGGTTCTAATTATTTACTAATTTCGATTTAATACTTTTTTTGTGTAGTAGACAAAGTCATGGATTGGATTGAGAAAAAAAAAAAAAGTATCTTTTTCAAAATTTTAGGTGTAAAATAATATAAATATAGAGCGGACGCGAAAAATAAAATGAAATAGAGTTTAATTGGAATCTTTAGGTTACAGGGATTATTTTCTCTTTCCTTGTTCATCTTTGTTCTCTCTCTCTCTCTCTCTATCTCTATTCTCTTCTTCTTCTCTTTTGGTTATTGGGAGCTAATAAACAGAGAGAAATCGCCATTAAAAAACCCACTTTGTTCTTCAACACCGAAATTAAAGGAAACCTCTTTTCTCTTTTTAGCTTTTTTCTTAATCTCCCTTGTCTCTCTCAGTAGTGATTTTTTTACATACAGCTCCGCTCTCAGGTTTCTTCCCCTTTTGTTTTGTGATTCTGTTTCCGCTCTTTCTGGGTTTACTTGGGATTTTAATCTTCAGATTGACGAAACCCTAGTTTGATTTTGGTTTCAGAAACGACGAGTCTCCATTGATTTGGTTCCCCACCAGCTCTTCTTCTTTTTTCTCCGAGAACCTTATCTCGTTTTTTGACGGAGGGAGGGACGGAATCTGGAGTTGGGATTCAAGGGTTACTCTTATGCGATTCTTCTGGATAACTTGATGCCGCAGGATCACGCTTCGTGGGATCGGAAAGAGCTCTTGAGGCAAAGGAAACACGACAGGCCTGAACAATCTTCTTTTGATTCGCCGCCTTTTAGATGGAGAGATTCGCCTTCTACTCCTTCGTCTCACCATGTTCCCAGAGAGTTTTCTTCTCGTTGGGGATCTGCAGACTTCCGCAGACCTTCTTGTAAGACCTACCCCTACCCTCGCTAATTTAGGGCTTTGAATTCACCGCTTCTGTTTTTGGTAGAGTCTTTTTCTGTGGATTTGTTAGATATATACTTTTCCTTTTCTGTTTTATGACTCTTTGAGTTTTTTTTTTTTTTTTTGGGTTGATTTAGAGGTAAATCCTTGTTTATTAGATTGAGTTCTTACTGTGTCATGATAGTTTAGGGTATTTTGGGATCATTACCACAGCTCTGAAGAATTTTTTACTCTTGAAAGGAACAATTTTTTAATACTCAGGTGGTTTTAGTTTCATAGCGAGAGGACTTTGTTACCTCAATTGTGTTTGTATCTTGTGTTCATGAATCTTAAAACGGGTAAAAGGTCCTAACATCGTCAAGTGTTATTGTTAGTTTTAGTTTTACATGTTATAGATTTAGATGAGATAGGTCTTACTTTTACAGGTTTTTCATACTAGTTTTGAAGCCCTGTGTGGGGCTAACTGCATTTTTTGTCTCCTATAATTGATTTCTTGTTATGATGATCCTGAGATTTGACTGCCTTTTGCAGAATCTTGTACTACTTGTTTTGCCAGCAGTAAAAGTCAAACTTTGTGGAGAGATTCCGTTTTTAGTTTGACAAGTTATATATATATTTTGATGTACATAGGTCTTGCTTTAGTTTGTGATTCTCATCTTCCTTTTTTCTTCAAACTTTGTCTGAAGGTCATGGTAAGCAGGGTGGACGGCACCAGTTTGCGGAGGAGACTAGTCATGGATACACATCTTCTCGGTCCAGTGCCCGGACGTTTGATAATGACTACTATAGGCCATCAGCATCACGTGGAGACTGGAGATATACCAGGAATTGCAGGGATGATAGAATTTCTGTAAGCCAAAAGGAATGGAAATGCAATACATGGGAGATGAGCAACGGGTCTTCCAGAAGTTTTGAGAGGCCATTTGGTATTAGAAATGGTCGGAGGTCAGTTGATGAAAGGCCGTTACATGCTTCAGATACTCATACTACTGTGGTGAACTCTTTGGATCCAGCCAACTCCACTCATCAGCCGGACAATGAGATCTGTACCCCAGTACGCTCACTCAAATTTAAAAATGAGCAGAAATTTTCAGATCAAAGACTATCACTTCCTTCAGATCCTCATTCTGACTGTGTTAGCTTGTTTGAACGGCCTTCTTTGGAGAACAATTATGGCAATAAGGTTTGTTCACCAGCAAAGCAATGCAATGATTTGATGTATGGTCGGAGGTTAGCTAATGACAATTCATTAGATCCTCCAGTCCTCAATGCAGAGCTGGCGGGGACTTGGGAGCAACTTCACCCGAAAGACCCGCAAGATAATAATGGGTTACATGGTATCAGTGATTTAGACGGTGCTACGAAATGTGCAAAGGAGGCTTCTCTGGGAGCAATTGGGAAACTTCCACTGTGGAACAGTTCTGGGAGTTTTGCATCTCAGAGTTCAGGTTTTAGTCATTCAAGTAGCTTAAAAAGCTTGGGGGCTGTTGATTCCAGCGATCGAAAAATTGAGGTTCTTCCTAAAATTGTTACTGTGACTCAATCTTCTTCAGGAGATGCTACTGCCTGTGCCACAACTACTCATCTTTCTGAGGAGATGAGTTCTAGAAAGAAACAACGTCTCGGGTGGGGTGAGGGCCTGGCGAAATATGAGAAAAAAAAAGTTGATGTTAACACAAATGAAGATGGAACGCCATTGTTGGAAAACGGTTCAGAGGAACTGCATTCTTTGAACAAAAATATTGCTGATAAAAGTCCCACAGCAGCCACTCTTCCAGATTATGGTTCCCCTACAACTCCATCCTCTGTAGCTTGCAGTTCATCACCAGGTACAGTACATTTTGTTAATGCTTCTCTCTGCGTGCTATTCTCATTCCTGTTCTATTTGGAGTTATCTGTATTATTTTCCTATTACTTGAGTTCTTCCACTTGTTTTTATATACATTCACTCATCTTCTGCAGGGGACAATTGAATTTACTCATAATTTTATTTATTTGTGTCTGCAGGATTTGCAGATAAATCATCTCCGAAGGCTGCTATAGCTGCTAGTGATGTCAGTAACACGTGCCGCTCACCTAGTCCCATGTCTAGTATTCACCTTGAACGATTTCCAATCAATATAGAGGAGCTTGATAACATCTCGATGGAGCGTTTTGGCTGTTTGCTCAATGAGTTGCTTGGTACTGATGATCCTGGTACAGGGGATTCCAGTTCTGTCCAATTGACATCAATGAACAGATTACTTGCCTGGAAAGGTGAAATTTTGAAAGCTGTGGAGATGACTGAATCGGAAATTGATCTCCTTGAAAACAAACATAGGACGCTAAAGCTTGAAGGTGGAAGACACTGCCGTGTTGTTGGACCCAGTTCATACTTCTGTGACGGAGATGCAAATGTGCCCAAGGAGCAGGCTTCTTGTATTTTGGATCCTAAGGCAGCAGCTTCCTCTGTAGCTGAAACACTGGTGAGAGCTCCTGTTCTTCTGGCCGGTTTAGCCAAGGTTCCTGTTGATGTTTTTGAAGATAATCCTGGAGTAGTTAAATCTCTATCCCAATCTTTTGCCACTGTCGAAAGCAATGAAGATATACTGCCCATACCGTCTATGAAGGCGGCTGCTTCTTCCAAAGAGATTAACACACCTGCTTTTGTCAATCAGGAAACTATTGAGGTTTCTTCTGCTGATGATAGCATGGCCTCCAATGACGACTTGCTCTGTGCGAAGTTATTATCTGCCAATAAGAAATATGCTTGTGAATCATCTGGAGTATTCAATGAGTTGCTTCCAAAAGATTTCAGTTCGTCTGACAACTCAAGATACCCTGGCATATGTCAAACGCAGTTTGATTCTCATGTCAAAGAAAAAATTGCAGATAGGGTAGACCTTTTGAGAGCTAGGGAGAAAATTTTACTCCTTCAGTTTAAAGCGTTTCAGCTCTCATGGAAGAAAGATTTGGATCAGCTAGCTTTAACAAAGTACCAACCAAAGTCTAGCAAAAAAACAGAACTATATCCGAATGCAAAAAATGGAGGGTATCTAAAGCTTCCCCAACCTGTACGCTTGAGGTTCTCTTCTTCAGGTAAAGTTCTCAAATCTCTTTTTCTCTTCTATTTACTCTGGTATATTAAGCTTTTCGTGGTTTGTCTTTGTCTGGGGTAAAATTTGGCTTTTATGTTGTCCTAGGTAAATATTTGTCTTTGTTGTAGGGACTTGAAATCTGTGATTTTTCAAGGGCGTGAGGTGTTGAGAGAAAACATATACAATTCTTGAGAACTATTGTTACTGAGCTGTCACATAGTGGACATAATTCTTTATTTGCAAGCTAAGTTCAGAGTCATTCTATGCTAACGTGTTTGTTGGATGTTGATAACGCTATGTTAATTATATGTTAGATTTTGGGTTTTATTCTAGTATTATATCCACTGTAATATTCATTTTAACGTCTAGCTTGCTTAACTAGGAGGTATAGTCTAAGCAGATGCTTATTTCTTTTTTTTTTCCAGTTAGAAAGTATATCAATACGCAGGAGATGATTGCAGTGTAAAAATTTGGGATAACGATCACAGATGAATTGAAGCCTTTTTTCATCGAATTTTGAAGTTAATAACTGTTTTACTCTACACGTGCAGCTCCAAGAAGGGATAGTGTAGTCCCCACAACAGAGCTCGTAAGTTATATGGAAAAGCTACTTCCGGGTACCCATCTAAAGCCTTATAGAGACATTATGAAAATGCCTGCTATGATTTTGGATGAGAAAGAGAGGGTGATGTCAAGGTTTATTTCTAGCAATGGACTGATTGAAGATCCATGTGACGTTGAGAAGGAAAGAACAATGATTAATCCTTGGACCTCAGAGGAGAAAGAAATTTTTCTGAATTTGCTAGCATTGCATGGGAAGGATTTCAAGAAGATTTCTTCATATCTTACCCAAAAGACAACTGCGGACTGTATTGATTACTACTACAAAAACCACAAGTCTGATTGTTTTGGGAAAATAAAGAAGCAGCGTGCTTATGGTAAGGAAGGGAAGCACACCTACATGTTGGCGCCACGAAAAAAGTGGAAACGTGAGATGGGGGCTGCCTCTCTTGATATTTTAGGGGATGTCTCCATTATAGCAGCAAACGCCGGAAAGGTTGCATCAACCAGGCCGATCTCTTCCAAAAGGATCACCCTTAGAGGTTGCAGCAGTGCTAATTCATTGCAGCACGATGGAAATAACTCTGAAGGGTGCTCCTACAGTTTCGATTTCCCTCGTAAGAGAACTGCTGGTGCAGATGTTTTAGCTGTTGGTTCTTTGTCATCAGAGCAGATTAATTCTTGCTTAAGGACTTCTGTGAGCTCTAGAGAGAGGTGTATGGATCATCTGAAGTTTAATCATGTCGTAAAAAAACCTCGGATATCTCACACTCTACATAATGAGAACAGCAATGAAGAAGATGACTCATGTTCGGAAGAGAGCTGTGGGGAAACGGGTCCTATTCACTGGACAGATGATGAGAGATCTGCTTTTATACAGGGGTTTTCGCTTTTTGGCAAGAATTTTGCTTCAATATCAAGGTACGTCGGGACAAGATCTCCAGATCAGTGTAAGGTTTTCTTCAGCAAAGTTCGGAAATGTCTTGGGCTGGAATCTATACAGTTTGGATCTGGCAATGTAAGCACATCCGTAAGTGTTGATAATGGCAATGAGGGTGGTGGAAGTGACTTGGAAGATCCTTGTCCTATGGAGAGTAACTCTGGCATATGCAATAATGGAGTTTGTGCCAAGATGGGTATGAATTCTCCTACCTCACCTTTTAATATGAATCAGGATGGTGCTAATCATTCAGGCTCTGCAAATGTGAAAGCTGACCTTAGTAGATCAGAACAAGAGAATGAGCAGACATATTTGTGTTTGAAAGATGATAACAATCTCGTGAACAATGCATATATCAATGGCGGTTTCCCGAGTCTAGTTTCAGAATCTTGTAGAGATTTGGTAGACATTAATACTGTTGAGAGCCAGTCTCAGGCTGCCGGAAAAAGCAAGAGCAATGATCTACTGTCAATGGAAATTGATGAAGGTGTCTTAACATCTGTCGTTGTATCTTCTGAGCCCTTGTATTGTGGCCTAAGTGTTCTTTCCAATGTTATTGTGGAAACCCCTACAGAAATCTCAGGAAAGGGCTCAGGAGATCAAGGTGCTGCAATGCCTAAACTTAGTTCAAAGAATCAGGATGGAGTGATGCAAGCTGCAAACAGAACCAGAAATTCTGGCCTTGAACCTGAAAGTGCACCTTCAGGTTTCAGGTACCCTGAGTGTCTGCACCATGTTCCGATTGAGGTGTGTACGGAAAACCCTATAGGCGTCAGTGTTCCACGAGGAAATCCAAATTGCCATACAGAGTCCGAGTCGGGAAATTCTCTTGTTGGACAAGTTGACAAAACACATGACTTGGGTTGGCCGAAGAACAATCTGGAATTGAATAGGAAGCTTCGGGTTTTAGGCCATGTAAACCCTGATGAGCAGAATGGTCAACTAAATGCGACCAATGCAGCATCTTGTCAAATTCCCCAGAGATCTGTTACCCAAGATCTGAGCAGGATAAGTAGATCAAAATCTGATTTGATCGTAAAAACCCAACGTACAGGTGAAGGTTTCTCACTCAACAAGTGTACTAGTTCAGCTCCTAAGCCTCTGGCAGTATCCCATAAAGAGGGCAGATCTGGTCATAGCAGGAGCCATTCGTTTAGTTTGTCTGATACTGAAAGACTCGACAAGAATGGAGATGTGAAGCTGTTTGGTACAGTACTTACTGCTGATGAGAATGGAATAAAACAAAAACACAATTCATGTGGAATTGTCAGGTCATCATCAACCTTGAGCAGGGACCATGATACAAGACATCATTACATTAATCAGCAACACCTTCAGAATGTTCCCATTACAAGCTACGGTTTTTGGGATGGCAATAGAATTCAAACCGGGCTCACATCTTTGCCAGAGTCGGCCAAGTTGCTTGCAAGTTGCCCTGAAGCATTTTCCACGCATCTTAAGCAGCAAATTGGTAACAGCAAAGAGATTCTGCTTGATGTTAATGGTGGAATTTTGAGCTTTGGTAAGCATAACGAAGATAGAGCTGAGTCCTCAAGCGCTAAGGATGAAGGTAACATAGGAGGGGTAAATGGTGTAGCAGAGGCAGCCACGTGAATTAAAAAGCTTCTTAGGGTCATGATTTAGTTTGTTTTGGAGGATTGGCATATTCTTTGTTTGTCAACCTATCTGTATTATATCTCTTTTAACATCTTTTTTTTTTTAAATTTAGAATGTCAGTTAATATAGGCATTTTTTTTTTTTGGTTCAGCTTAAGTTAGGGGCCTGCAGAAAATTCATAGCTGATGTTTGTATCTGTAATGTTGCTGATAATAACAGAGAGAGCTAAGAGCTAAGCTTAGCTCTCTGTATGTTTTTCAAGAAGGATAACACTTGATGAACAAGCATGTCTAATGTTGTACAGTGAAAGAAAGACTAATGCAACTTCACTTGCAGGAGGATAAACCCTTTTCTTCTGTCTCAGAACTTGTTTGGAGGATTGGTGGTAGAGGTGCCACGATTTTGACTACCTGCAAAACGTGAAGGGCATGAACAGTCGGTTGGTTTAGATATAAGGACTTAAAGATCTGGTAAAGAGCTGTCAACTTTTGCAAAGACATTAACAGATTCTACATGAGTTACCTTATGAGTGTTCAACAGGTTTGGTAGCTCTACTTGATGAGCATGCAGATGATATCCACAATCCCCAGGAACAGCCTGATTTGGCCTTCTGTAACCCCTGCAATATATTCAGCCATAGTGCATTTATCATTTCAATACCATTACGACTCATGCCATAACAGATGATAGCATCTAAGTTACAGACCAATCTACACTCCACATGAATCTACCTATTAGATTGCATCGTACTACATTAGTACATTGGTTAGCTCGAATATACTTAAATTTCCGAGGACTGTTCCTCTCAAGGAATACAGAAAACGTATTTGAAACTATAAGTATGATGGAAAAGTGATCCAAGTTTGTACCCATCTTCGGCAAAGGCTGCATCATCATCTACAAGATCTGGATCAAAGCACTTTGGTTGGCCGCCCGCTACATACAGAGGGTCCCCTGCACTTTGGTCAGCATGTAAGCTATCTGTTTCTAAGTTTTATGCTTGCTGACTTGCACTAAGATTCTATAAACATCATCACCTCTTTCATAGACCACTGCCAAAAGAAAACTTGTGCAGCAAAATCTTCCTTCACTATGCCATAAACAATTCATGCCCTAGACTGCAACCATATGTAATGCATATAGCTCATACAATTATAACTAGCTGAATCATCACGTGGGACTTAGGCATTTTTTATCCATCAAAACATGATTGTATTCAATATTTTACTTAAGTATTCATATCACCAGTAAGCAGTTCTGTTGTTCCATGATTGCCTAGTTGATTAAAAATTAAAGCTGCAAAAAACTCTAGAGAAATCTTGTCTTTCAAAGCTACGTATCCAACTTTTCTTATTCCATACTAGAGAATAGCAGCTCAAAACGTGTGACAGACCAGAAGGAAACAGAAGTTTTTACCTAACAAGGGATGTCCCATGTATGCAAGATGAATCCGGATTTGATGTGGTCTTCCAGATTGTATCTCTACCTGTTTTGCATAAAAACAAGATGATTGTGAAGAACTTCGTTTTGGTTTTACTATCTCATTCACTTTCTGCATTAACCTTGTGTGACATATGACATTTGGAAATAAGATGGAACAGAAGAAAACCTTAACCAGCGTGCAATTTTTTTGCTTGTCCCTCTCCAGAACAGCTACTTTGCTGAAAGCAGGTTTGCCTGATAAGAAAACAAACAAAAAACGTTATAATGAGAACAAATAAGATTTAGTGTGAGTTGCTCTAGCCTAATGGTATAAGATAGTAGAACTAACCTTCTGGAGAAGCAACATATAATCCTTTTGCGACCCCAGGATATCGAACCACTCCTAAAGGCTGTTTGATTACTACCTTCAAAATGTAAATAAAGGAGCATTGTCCGTAGACGTTATCTCAGTGCATATTTAGGTATATTCATAGCATTTGAAAATGAATTCTCAGCGCAAATAATGAAATGGCCTTGCCTCGTCTTCTTCAACTATACCATCTGCTAGTGCTCGATATATCTTTGATAGTTTTCTTCCTTTTCCACACTCTTGCTCTAGGTTGCTGTAAGAATGAAGAGTTTAGTTCCTAAGAACATAGTGAAAAAATCCAATAGATGATACCAAAGATCTTTTCAAGAATGAGCTGGGTCAACAGAAATCATGTTTGAACTCACCCGGACCCGACAAGAGATGTTCCCTCAGCAAAATACGCAGCAAGTTTCGTTTTTGCAAGCTTTGTCTTCGCACAGAGAAGTATACCTGGAAAGAAGAGTCCCATCCACTAAAAAAAATAACATAAATTGAAAACAACATATCTTAACAACTTCCCCAGTAGAGAGATATCATTGTAGAGATGCTTTTGCAATGCGAACTGATAAGTCCAGTGAAGAGGGCAACATTTATAAAGCCGTGGAGAATACTAGCATCATAGTTGGTCACATGAAAAGGAAAGAAAAACACGTCTATAGACTAACCTGAAGTTCCTCTACCCAGTCGATGCACAGGGACAGGGTGTGGTGATTCACGCGATCCAGTGTAAGAATCATTTTTACGGAAACACCACTGCAGCTGCGTCAACACAGTCCGTTGCTGGAAAAGTCCTCCGGGCAATACTTGAAGTCCAGAAGGCTTGTTTAAAGCGATCTGCATTATATGAAATCCACCAAATATACACACATCGATTCCAGTTAGCACTGTAAGAGCAAACCAAACAAGAAGCTGCATTGGTCATTTACTTGTATATAGCAGCAAGCAAAGGAAAGAGCTTTAAACATCACAACAAGATTTATGTATGTTTTTGTTCAGAGCAGGAAGTTACCAAATCATCATCTTCATACAAAACTTGTAGCGAGTATGGCGTGTCAGGTTCCTTCCAAGGAAGCCTATGGTAAACTAACTTGGAACCACTCCTGAGAAACAAAAAAAAAATGAGACACCTTTACAAAAGCTAAACACTTTATAAGTGTTCAAATCAGTGTAGGAAAAAGAACCTAAGAAGTGTGTTGGGATCTTTAACAACTTCACCGTCAATTTGTATCTGCAAAACGTCATACACAAGAAATGAAATTACAAATTCTCCAGAATCAAGAGAGAAATTATGTGATAATAAAGAACAAACCTGTCCGTTTTGGATTCGTTGAATCCACCTGGAAAACGAAAGATGATTAAAAGAATGGAACGTGTAAAAACGATATTGTAGAAGAAGAGTAGAGGAAGAGGAAGAGTAAGAACCCTAGCAATGGAGCTGAACTCTTGTATTTCGTGAAGTAGAAATCTGACACCGTCGTTAACTCTGTATACAACAAATTCCACAATTTCAGAAAAGAACCAAATCAATAACAACAAAAAATCAAATTTTTTGAATATTTACCTGAATCAGAAGAAGAGATGACATCCTTGTATGCCAAACCAACGTTGAGCTCCGGCCATGGCAAGCCGATACGTTGCGGCGGCGGCGACGGCGTTGACATCGTTTACCGGTTTGCCTCAATTCTGGTTTTTTACTTTACCCTTTCAAATCGAATCGGGTAAAATATAAAACCAAACAAAAATTAAAGGAGAAATTATTGAACCAAACCGAAATAGACCAATCACATCCGAGCCATACACTTACCCTAATTTTAAGAGTTTTTAACTTTTACCCTTTTAGCTTATGAGTGAAAACTATTATTATTTTCTTCAAAATAAAATATCATTATTGATTGTTTTGATTAAAAAAACAAGAGTTTTACCCATTTGGAAAAAAAATATTACTCCCTCCGTTTCGTTTTAGTTGTCGTTTAAGGTTTTCTCATACAAATTAAGAAAATCATTAAATTTTCTGTTATACCCTTTATAATATATTTTATAAAAAAATTCATTGGCCGAAATATTAAAACAGTAGGGATAAAACTGGAATTTTCACCAAACATTTCCATCGAAAACCTAAAACGACAACTATTATGAAACAAAATTTTAACTCTAAAACGACAAGTAAAACGAAACGGAGGGAGTACTTATTTTTTCAAATGGAAAAATGTGTTTTTCTTATGTAAACAAAAAGTAAGACCATGGTTAAATGTTTGTTTGGTCGGATAGTAGTACTCGAATCCAATTCTTCACATAACCTTTTTTTACTTTGTTGGTGAAAAGTTTCTTAAAGCACAAGTAAAGCCACAACTTTAGGAGTTTTGGGACCTGGACTGGATTTTTAGAAAGTTAAGAATCGAAAGAAAAACAACTGATTACTTACTAAACATTACTAAAAAGGATTAGCTGATATTGTTATTGTGAATACTTAAGGGCATACCATTGAACGAACCTTCCTTTCTTATTATAGCCATGATGATCAGTTACAATTGAAGTAACTAATTAAGCTTATCCTTACTAGATAATCAAATGTTACTAGTTAGATTATCCAAAACAAAACCTGAAAACCCTTTTGACCAAACCTATTCCTGTGTGGCTTTCTTGTACTCAGGCTTCAGCTCATAAGTTCCTTGGTTGCTCCCTTTGTTGTTGTATATGCAAAGATCTCTCAGCAAGTCTTTCAGGAATTGCTGCACCAAATCCACATTTCCATAAGCAACACAAACTCTGGTTTTTCGTATTCGTATTCGTTTTCTTGTTTCTTTTTTGAATTCGCTCAACCAAGCACTAAACAAAAAGTCTGTATTTTCCATCTGCTTACCTCTGGCTGATCAGTTTCCTGAATGAGCAGCCTCAGAGTCCAATTTGACTGTCTTTCAAAGAGATTAAACATGACCTCTTCCATCTCTCTACGGTCCCTTCTTGTTCTCTTCATTTCTGATGTCCTATTTGTCAATTTCTTCTTTTCCTGATACAAATTAATGACTTGTTCACGATCCTTTAAGCAACAGTAATGTGTGTGTTTCAATTGAGAAAGATAAATACAGGAGCCGCGGTTGGGATTATCATTCCTGGCATTGGCCTCATATGCATTCCTCTGGCATTATCAATGACCTGGTCAAGAAACCAGAAACATGATCATGGAAAATGGCACAAGAGATTTGTTTGAAACTCCAAGTCGCCACATAACCATCTTTACAACAACCTGGATCTGTCTGTTTTTGCCCATATACTTGTTTGTTCTTTCACGGCACAATCTCCCATAGCTCTCGATGTTCTCGTTATGAGGCCTCATGTCAAATTTGTTCTTAATCTTCCCTTCTACTGACATCTTTCCTACACAGAACATTGTCAAGCATAATCAGGTTCACCTCTGGATTGTAAATGAACAGACCAATGCTAAATTCTTCACCCAATGATCCAAAAGCTTATAAATGTAACAGCAACAACAAAGATATAAAAATGCCAATTACTAAACACAATCCACATTTCTGACCAACGTAACCAAATATTCATGCCATAGATGAACCAACTGTTGCAATATAATTTCGGAAAACAAAGTGTGGAGAAGTGTTCAACTTACCATCTGAAGATTCACAGAAAACATTCATGGGGATGAAATCTTTAGACATATCTAAGGTGTAACGCCTCGGCATGTTTCCAGATTCAGCTCGAGCTAATTCCATTACGAACTGCAAGGCAAAAGAGTAACCAAGTTTTACACCAAGAAAGTCGCATTTTAAGTGACAAGCAAGAAAGTTCATAGAAAGCAAGCTCAAATGTTGAAAGACAACATCTAGAGACAACAGAAAAGATCTCTAATTTGCAGAAATGTTTCATACACTACCCAATCCTCAAATTACAAGGAATTTGATGTTAGTGACGACCTCTGATCAAAGTGAGGACCACTCGATATCTCCAAACTCAGAAAACCCATTTCCCCAAATCCATGGAATTTCAGCAAGATTCTCAAAGGATGAAAATTTCCCGAATGGTACTAAAAACCCTAATCACGCACTTCCTGAGGAAGATTCAATGTAACGAGAGATACGCATGCAGAGAGGACAAAAATGCAAAGACGAAAGAATCATACTTTGGTCTCTTCGTCCTCGGGAGCCAGAAGATCGACGTTAAGGATGACTTTAGCGTCAGGACGGTACGGATCGTCAGGAAAAGGAAGAGACTGGAGAGAACTCGCGACGAGAGATGGAGCTTTCATTAGCAACATCGATCTATCTGCTAATCCCGTTTCCAATGCTTCATTCTCATTCTTCTTTACCTTAAATTCTACCTTACCATCTTCCATTTCTTTCAGACTCTCTGACACAGAAGACGAGCGAGAGAGAGACGATGGAAACAGAGGAATTCAGAGCGCCTTTATATACTAACCTTAGGCTTCCCAATTAATGCTAAATAGAATCATAAAGACGAAAGCTTTATTTATAGATTGCATTTGTCAATGTTATTAAAATCTAGCCACGAACTAGAACGACTACTACAAAAACGTATATACAAAGGAGATCAATCTCATTGAAGATTTTCATGTTCAGGTCTTCTCTACTCATAAGCAATTGTGGTTTCATACACGTGACCGCTTGGTTTTTCTCTCAGCTAACTTATTAGTCGCATTTCGTTTGTTTGAAACCTCTTTCTTTTGTGTCCCATTCAAAGCTCCAGTCTTTGTCTCTTCCTCTTTCTTCTTCTTCATTGCATTATCCAACGCATCCTTCACAAAGAACTTTAGCCTCCATAGTGTTGGTTCGTCCTGCATACAAGCAAAACTAGCTAAGAAAAAAAAGAAAAGACCAGTCAGTGAAGGTGTGGCGTTAGTAAGAGATTTACCAGTATGTCCATCTCAATACTCACTTCCTCTGCTCTAGGTTGGAAGCTCGGGTCAGCCTGAGCAACTATACCCAACACTTTCTGTAGATCATCCGGTGACAATTTTAATAATGCCAACCCAATATTACGTTTCTCCTCAATTGTGATTTTCCTGATACAATCGTTCACCAGTGTAAGCAGATTATACATTGACCAGAGGACCCAAAAGCATTCAAATTTAAGAGTGATTTAGGCCAACCTGCATCTTTCCACAACTTTACGCATTAGCTTCTCCAGCTCGTCATTAGCATGGCAAATCTGGGCAGAAATATATCAGTTTGATAGTTAAAAGGTTAACAATACAAAAGGGTCTCTGATATTGGAAAAAATTAACCTCGTTGCCCAAATCTCTAGTTGTTTTGATATGAGATGCTTCTTTTGCTAGCAGCGCCTCCGTTGCTGCTTGCTTCTCCTCTTCCTCCCGTATTTTCTCCTGTAATCAATTTTGCTAAGAACTTGGTGCTATTAAGCTCCATCAAGAAAATACTTGGTGCTATTAAGCTCCATCAAGAAAATAGTGTGAAAGATTATAACATTTTTGTTACCTCTTCTTGAACCTTTGGAAGAAAGTGTGCCCATTTCTCCTCAAACTTTTCCAGTAACTTTTTCGCCATAGAGTAAACATCACTTGTTTCTTCATTATAATTCATTGCGTTCTCAAACACTAGCCGCATATCAGCATATACTTGCAGGACATGTTTGTACCCAGTACCATCCTTAGCCTCCATTTGATTCTTTATCGTGCTGAAGTCCATGGGCTTGTCAATAACCTACAATCAGATCAAACATGTTATAAAGAGACCTGCTTACAGAACAAAGACGGCGATCTCATAGCATTAATGGAAACCTGAGGAAAACATACACAAAATCTAAACGTATTCACAGAGCAAAACATAATAGTGTACTTCTAAGAATTCCCCCACGAAATTCTTGTACTTCTAATAGGCAAAAGCTAATTGGTATGATGATCATACTCAAAGGATATAGCGAAAAGAATGGTGAAATTCTGGTAGCTCTAATAGGTAAATGAAGTTTAATCAACTGTAAAGTCCGATTATATGTTCTACCAAAATAAGAATCAAAAGGGAAAGTAAATGTTGGTAGCTCTAATAAGCAAAAGGCATTTACTCAGCTGATATATATATGTTTTACCAAAAGAAGATATCAACAAGGAAAGTCGAAAGCTAGAGATGAAAAACGTTACCTCAAAGTAGTCATGCAAACCAAGACCTTCTACATTGACAGGATGCATAAACGGCCATGCGCACTTATGCTGAGTTATCTGAGAAATCAATTACAATCAAAATTAATGATCCAAGTTCTCCCTGGAGACAACAATCCACAGGTGAAGAGATGATTGTACCTGGCGAAAGATTGTTCCAAATTGACGCATAAGGTCCTGCATTCTTTTAGCAGCAACAGCTTCTCTACGCGCCGCTTCTTGTTGAATCTTCCTAATCCCCACAACATGTCTCCCTTTATCTGTATCTTTACCAATAGAGCCAGAGTTTGAGACACCAATGCTCGAGTAAAACTCCTCTACTTCTTTCAGTTTATGCTCAAGCTGCAAATACAAACATCAACCATCGATTGAATCAACATGTTATATCTCATCTATATATGACTATGACACAACAAAATCAATTCAAAGATTATTGACGGCAAAACCCTAAGGAAAAGAAAATTTGAGATTATGTTTCTAGTAACAGGAATAAAAGCTCTAAAGGAGAACACTTTATTACCGAATCAACCCACTGTAAAACCTCGTCGACACGCTGCTTGATGCACTCGGCGTCGACAGAGAAAACCTGTAAACCCCCGCCGGCGACATGACCTAACTCTGGCACTGAGTCAGCCATTTACAGGTTTTCAGAACCAACCAACAAAAGAAAATTCCCCAGAAAAAAAATCTGCAAAAGTGAAACAGGGAGGATGGGTTTGATGATGATGGACAAAGGAAGAAGACTGAAAGAGCCGTGTGGTGGACTACCTGTCGTTTTTAGGTATGGAAAACGACAAATATTATTCTAAACGCTATCCTGGCTATTGAACTCGTGAGCTCTGGCACCCTTAGCCTAAAGCCTGGTTTAAAATGTAAACTACTTTTGTTTGTGTAAATTTAAATGTTCTTCAATAAATTTCCTTAGATCCGAGTCTGGGATTAGTAAGAATTTGCTTTGACAATGTTTGAGTCCATATTTGGTAATTGTAGTCCATTTTTTTGGAGTCTTAGAGGACATGTTAAAAAAACAAGCTACACAAAACAAGTTCGGAGATAAATGATGGATGCTTAAATATTAGATGACGACATATCCTCCCATAAGCAAGCACTTGGTTACTCCAAATCTAAATCTGTCGCGTAATGGGCTTATTTCAACCCTTCTTGCCATCTTATTTCTCTCCAAATCATAAGTGACAACATATATTTGGTGAGAATTTTGCCGCGAAGAATACCAGAAGAGAAGGAGCAATCGAAAAATAAATGCGCATGTGTTTCATCTCCGTTAGAGCATAGAACACAAGAGGAGGGAATATTCATGCCCCATCCTCTTAGTCTATCTCTTGTGGGCAATCTGGCCAACAAAGACATCCATGCGATAAGAGAAAACCGACGCACGTACTCTTTGAACCAAACCACCTTTGCCCAAGGAACAAGCGGCGAGTGAACCCGAATCTGCTCCCAAGTTTCGTTGGAAGAGAAAGATGGAGTAAAAGAACCAGAGGCGTTACGCCAAAGAAAGATATCGTTACCCCTGCAGGTGAGTGGAACTGTGGTCTCCGTTAATGCTGCCAAAAAAGTCTCTGAATATTATCCGAACGCGCAGCGGGCATAATCCAATTTCCACTTCTTGAAGCTTCTACAACTAAGGTATCCTGCCTTATTCGTAGTAGTCTAGGCCCAGCCGCTCCAAGATAAGTTATAAGCTGGCCAAGATCCGTCCCAGCATCATACCAGAAAGAGGCGAACTGACTATCACCTAACTCACAACGCATAAACTCAACAATGGTGCCTTGCATCCCCATGTGACAATAACCAACGAAATTCATTTGGGAAACAGGCAAAACTAAAGACTTCTTGTTTGACCATATACTTTTCATGACATCCTCCATAATCCATAGATACACACTACCATCAGAGGCAAGCGATTTGGTGGAAAATTCAAAATGAGCTAGTTTCCCTTCGTAGATCATGAGATTCGGGCTAACTTCATCCACGGGTAATTTGATCACAGTGAACTCCTAAGACCTCATGTCAAAACTCATGACCACATAGCTATTCTTACCAAACCAAGTCCCATAATACAAGACACATAGATATCATTTATAAAGCCGTGGAGAATACTAGCATCATAGTTGGTCACATGAAAAGGAAAGAAAAACACGTCTATAGACTAACCTGAAGTTCCTCTACCCAGTCGATGTACAGGGACAGGGTGTGGTGATTCACGCGATCCAGTGTAAGAATCATTTTTACCAAAACACCACTGCAGTTGCGTCAACACAGTCCGTTGCTGGAAAAGTCCTCCTGGCAATACTTGAAGTCCAGAAGGCTTGTTTAAAGCGATCTGCATTATATGAAATCCACCAAATATACGCACATCACTGCAAATTGAAAACAAAATGATAGCACTGAAACTTCAGTTGGAGATTCCAGTTAGCACTGAAAGATACCTTAATTAAGAGCAGAATATTAAATGCACACCAAAAGAAAACCAAACAGGAAGCAAAGGAAACTAATTATAGCCATGAAGATCAGTTACACCAAAGGAAGAAAAACAAAGCTTCCTTTCTTATTATAGTCATGAAGATGAGTTACAATTAAAGTAACTAATTAAGCTTAACCTTGCTAGATAATCAAATATTATTAGTTAGATTATCCAAAACAAAACCTGAAACCACTTTTGACCAAACCTATTCCTGTGTGGCTTTCTTGTACTCAGGCTTCAGCTCATAAGTTCCTTGGTTGCTCCCTTTGTTGTTGTATATGCAAAGATCTCTCAGCAAGTCTTTCAGGAATTGCTGCGCCAAATAAGCAAAACAAACTTTCATTTTTGGTATTTGTTTTTTTATCTCTCTATGGAATCTCTTAATCAAGTACTACACAAAAGTCTGTAATTTCCTTCTGCTTACCTCTGGTTGGTCAGTTTCCTGAATGAGCAGCCTCAGAGTCCAATTTGACTGTCTTTCAAAGAGATTAAACATGACCTCTTCCATCTCTCTACGGTCCCTTCTTGTTCTCTTCATTTCTGATGTCCTATTTGTCAATTTCTTCTTTTCCTGATACAAATTAATGACTTGTTCACGATCCTTTAAGCAACAGTAATGTGTGTGTTTCAATTGGGAAAGATAAATACAGGAGCCGCGGTTGGGATTATCATTTCTGGCATTGGCCTCATATGCATTCCTCTGGCATCATCAATGACCTGGTCAAGAAACCAGAAACATGATCATTGAAAAATGCACAAGAGGTTTGTTTGAAACTCCAAGTTGCCACATTTGATTTTAACCATCTTTACAAAAAAAAGATCTGTCTATTTTTGCCCATATACTTGTTTGTTCTTTCACGGCACAAACTTACATAGCTCTCGATGTTCTCGTTATGAGGCCTCATGTCATATTTGTTCTTAATCTTCCCTTCTACTGACATCTTTCCTACAAACAATATTGTTGAAGAAAATCTACACAACTGTCAAACAAAATCAGGTTCACTTCTGGATTGTATATGTACAGACCAATGCTGAATTCTTCACCCAATCTAGATGATCTAGATCAAAGCACTTTGGTTGGCCGCCCGCTACATAAAGAGGGGTCCCCTGCACTTTGATCAACATGTAAGCTATCTGTTTCCAAGTTTCATGTTTGCTGACTTGCGCTGAGATGCCAAAAGAAAACTTATGTGCAGCAAAACGCATGTCCTAGACTACATAAGCAATCCATGTCCTACACTGCAACGATATCTATATGACTCGTACAATTATAATTATATGAATCATCACATGTGGTCTTCCAGATTGTATCTCTCATTCACTCTCTGCATTATCCTCGTGTGACATGTAACTATGGAAATAAGAAACACAAGAAATAAGATTAACCAGCGTTGTAATTAATTTCCCTGTCCCGCTCCAGAATAGATGCTTTGCTGAAAGCAGGTTTGCATGACAAGAGCAAAAACACTGAATATCAATCAAAACATTCAACAAGTACCTAATTTGTTGTCCATTCTTTGGAGTCTCAGAGGACGTGTTACCATGTCCCACTTCTATTCGAATTTACTTAAAATGGAGAAGAAAAAAAAAACTATCTTGCAATGACAGTGGCCCAAAAGTCATACACGCGAAACAAAATTGAATGAAAGTGAAATTATGGAGGCTTTAAAAGTTAATGACTAGGGCATAGTCATTTAGGTTTCCAAATACATTATGGTCTCGATATCCTCCCAAAAATCCGTCTGCAAGCACTTGGTTACTCCAAATCTGTCGCGTAATGGGCTTATTTCAACCCTTCTTGTCATCTTATTCCTCTCCAAATCATAAGTGACAACATGTATTGGTTGATCACGCATAAAATTTGCATATGTCAACCTAACCTCACTGTTGAGGCTCGTGCCTTGCATCCTCATGTGATAGAAACTAACGAAATACATTTTGGAAATAGGCAAAACTAAAGACTTCTTGTTTGACCATATACATTTCCTGGCATCCTCCATAATCCATAGGTCCACACTACCATCAGACGCAAGAGATTTGGTGGAATAATAAAAAACAGCTAGTTTACCTCCGTAGATCATGAGATTCGGGCTAGCTTCATCAACGGGTAATTTGATCACAGTGAACTCCTCAGAAGCAAAGTCAAAACTCATGACCACAGACACAGACCTATTCTTACCAAACCAAGCTCCATAATACAAGACACCGTTGATGGAGAAACCTTGTGTGTAAGGACAATGAGGAGGAGGAGGGATGGTGCTTTGAGTGTTTCTCCAATAAGCTCCAGCACCAAGTACCAACACTTGATGCTCGGATTTGAGAACTCTCTCTTCCTCGCCCACCTCCCAAACTATGCTAAGCACTTTGTATTCATCATTAACAGAGTCGTGCCCAAAATAGTTCCACGGATTACCATCGTCCTCCCGAAAAATAATGTTGGTAGATGTTATCATAGGCAAGCAACTCCACGTGCTGCTTGGTGGTGAGGTTACAAATTTGCAGTCTTGTCCCAATTCTGAAACAGACCAAGCCTCGAAGAGCGTTCACTATGTAACCTCCGATTCCCTGCATCTTAATATCTTGGTCTAGTAAAGAGACAGACCTGCACGAGTACGGATCCGGCGATGATGAGAGCAACGCAAACTCGGATTGTTTTTCCTCGTTCATAATATACGCAAAAAGACGCCGTGGTGACGGAGTCTTAAGGAAAAGGTTAGTGAAAGATCGGGAGGAGATGATGTTTGACCAGAGCTTTGAGACGCACTTTAACCTCGTCACCAGTTTCCCCGGCAATCTCGCTAGAATATCCATGAATATATCCTCAGGGATCTTCTCAAAGCCACAGGATTTCGAATCGGGCTTCTTCAAGAGGACTATTCTTCTACTTCTTCTTCTGGCTCCTCCTTGTGGTACCTGTAGGACCGCGAAATCCCGATTTGAAAACAGAGAGAAAGAACTTTTAGAAAACGATTTGGAAAGACGATTTAAGAAAAACTATCTTATAGTGCTCATTACAAGGAATCCAAAGACTCCATTATCCGGTCAATCCGGTGACGGCCTTCACCGAAAAAGTCGCTGGAAAGTTGGCCGGAGCCACTTGTGTAAAAATTGAGTTCCAACAGTACCTTCTTCTTCTTGCTCTGCTCCTTCACGGCGGCAAGACGAAAAGACAACCCCATTGTTTTGTTTTGGACAGATCTACTTGTTAACCCTAAAATTGTACTTGTAACTAAGACACAACACAACTCATCTATCCTAAGAGCATGTTTATCAATAAACCCCAATGAGTATCATAAGCCTTTTTTTAGTATTAAATTAATTAGTTGTTTAATCAATGATACTCAATAAGATTTTTGTTAAATTTGTATGTTTAATGGTGAAACAAAATTGGGTATAAAAAAAAAAAATTTTTTTTATAAATTTTCAATCTGAGACTTGTTTCAATCTGAAACTTGTTTAGACTGAAGCAAGCAGCGACAGTTGAAACGTAACCGGAGCAACCCCAAGACTCTGTCTCCGGTTCGGATTCCGATTCGATTCGAAACAGAACGGGAACAGAAACGATATGGCGTGGGAAATTCTTGAATTTGATTTTACAGTAGCAATTACCATATGATACATCCGCAACAGAAGGTCCCGATGAGGAAGACGACGAAGACGATGACAGTGATCTCGGGAAGTGAGCTGCGGCTGAATGATGTCCTCGTCTTCATCGCCTGAGAGAGAGAAAGGAGGAGAAGAGAGAAGACGAGATGATTAGTTAATTTCCCTTCAATTTTTTTTCCCCCACTCAGCAAGTGACACGTAGTGAGATGAGTCGGTTCAGAAGACTCACTTTAGTGAGACGAATCAACCCATTCTCAGTCCAATATCAATTTTTTAAATATTAAAAATGGGCTGATACCCACATTAGTTCACCAATAAACATGCTCTAAGTTCCTAACTCCTAAGAGCATGTATATGGGTGATACTCATATAGTATCATTAGGAATTTTTTAGTATTATTTATAATATTTGTTTATTATTTGAGATTTTTTATGATACTCCTACTAAATATGTTTGCATTGGTGATACCGGTTTAAGTTGCAAAATCAAAAATTAATATATTAAAACATAAGATTACAAAAGATAATATTACAATAAAAAAAACGTAGAATATCTTAAGTAAAATAAAATATAAAATTCAAAAAAAGTTACAGAATTTACAAATTTACATAAAATTCAAATAAAACCTGGCTCAAGAAAAGAAACAGAAGTTACAGAATTTTCAACATAGAAACAATGGAATTTTTGCGAGTGAGATAAGGATGCCTTACTTCAATCGGTGATATCGTTCTCAAGCTGCAGCAAATTTTCCTCCATGAATGAAACTAGTTTTTCAACATCGAAAGTCACCATTATTCTGTGATCTGCAAAAGAAACAAAAACCAAAAATCAACATTGTTGCTCCATCATGAAACATAGAGATAGATCATGACAGAAGATCATGGCAGGGGAATAAACAGAAAAAAAAAGATAAGGGTGCTTATAGGCATATGGAAGTTGTAACATGAAAGAAAAACTAAACAACAGAATTTCAGAAAACAAGTTCCATAATTCAAACCAAAACACCCTTGCCTGCCAAAGCAAGTGGCAGTAACTACAATAGATGTCTTAACCAAATCAGAATCACTAGAGGAAATGTGTTTGTACAGCTATATCACACACTAAACTATGCACCAACTAGGTCAAAGTTCATAATTGATTCCAGCTTTGAGAAAAGTAGAGTGTATAGTAATAAATTAGCAATCTTTCAAAAAGATTTGGTGCATAAATGGAAATTAATCAGTGCACAGAAATACAATTTCATGCTAATGCAAGCCAAGCTTAATACAACATTCTGAAACATTTTTAGAAATTTTACCTTTTAGTCAGTCTTGATACAATAAAGGTGTTAAGAATACTAAATATGGAGTTCATGGACTCAACAAAGAAACACATCCTTATTTGAATCCTGAACTCTACAGGTTTTAGATCAAATATTTAAACATAATTCATACATAACCTTATAAAGAAAACGCTTAAAATAGCCATTTCTAAGTTTAAGTCAATGGAAAATATACATGTCCTACATCATCTCCTTCAAAAAATTGAAGAAAATCCATTAAAAATTAATCAAAGGTTCAAGAATCGAGCTTGTCCTGTTATAGAATAATAATTCCAAGCTTTGTGACAGCTCATTCAATTAGTTTCTGTCTACATTTTTTTCCCATGTGAAATCCAGGAAAAAAACACAACGAAGCACAAACCCTAGATCTGAACCACAAATCACATGAAGCTAGATTTGCGTGAGCCTCGACGGAATCATAAATCGAGAGAAACGCAATTTATACCTTTAAACCTTGGATCGAGATCAAGATCCCCTCGTTCTGCAAATCCGAGGAATGGAGGTAACCAACCGACATCTCTTCTTCGCCGACGGAAGCTCCACGGCGACATATGACGACGGGACTAGGAGACCTGAAGCATCGAGAAAGAATAAATGATTTTTTTTTTCTCTTCTGTCCGCAAAAGAAATACCGCGACCAATCACGCCCTACCACGTCACATGATACCCAGTATCATGAGTTTCACTGGAGTGATACGGATCAGACCCATAAAACATGTTTGATCTATTTAAAAATAATAAATGGGCTTCTGATACTCTTAAAAGTTCTGCTATGTAAATGGTCTAAGAAAGATCTCAAAAGAATACTTCCTTCTTTTTGATACACAAAACAAAACAAAAATTTGTTAAAAGGCTTTCTTCTCTTTTTTTTTTTTTTTTTTTTATGGTGTGGAAACTGGAAAGTGGAAAGGCTTAAGAAAGCAAAACGACAAAATAATAATCGGGCAAATAAAAATGGGGCATTCCGAGAATTGAACTCAGGACCTCTCGCACCCTAAGCGAGAATCATACCACTAGACCAAATGCCCTTTTGTTTCATTGTTTCGTTGACATAATATTTGGCACATAATCTTAAGTTGGTTTAAGAATGTTCTCAGAACCAATCAACAAAAGAAAAGTCCACACAAATTTCCAAAAGAACTCTTAAGAATTGAAAAATAAATGGCTATGGTGGTGGACCTGAGAGCTGAAGAGCCATGGCAGAGCTGGTGGACTACATGTCGTTTATTTGGATGAAACCGACAAATCCTCTCCAAAGAGTACTTTGAGAATTGAACTCGAGCCTCTCTCATTCTGAAAATTAATACAAACGCAAACATAGTTTTGTTTATCAAAAAAAAAATCTTGGATATGTTATACATTAATTCTGAAAATTAAACTAGAAAAAGTTGTATATTAAATTCAGTTCATGGATATTAATTGATTCTCTGTAGCCTAACTGGGTTTCGATATGTTTCTGAATTCTGGTTAGTCCTCCAATCAAACAAATCAATTCGATGAAAGTTTAGAAACATCAAAACAAATGTCTCACACATCCATCCTAAAAAACACATTTCTCATATGTCAATTTAATTAGTTTATGTACTTGATTATGTAAACAAACACGCTTGAACAAAAGGATAAGGTAGTTTTATAGTCCAACCACCGACAAAACGTGCATTCCACTTCTTCTTCTTCAATTGCCATGCCGCATCATATCTCAAACTTGACTAATACAAACCAAAGAAGAAGAAGAATATAACAGTGAAAAAAAAACTCTTATACATTAGTCTGGAAATATAAAAGTTCATGTTCACTGTATTACCAAATTTGATTGACCTTTAAATAAACCTACCAATCACTCAAAACAAATACCAGTTCGTTACACAAGGGACACTTGAAGTTGAAAGCAACCGAACAACAAAAGTTTTTAAAACTAATAAAAATGTAGGTAAATATAATAATAAGGCCAACTATGAAGAAAAGGTCTATTTTATACTTTTTATATATAACCTTTTGTCACGGGCACTGTTTCATTCCCTTGGACCTCTTCTTCTTCAAGATCTGTTTCTTCCTTCTTTCTCTCTACCAGATTTTCTTGTACCAGAGAGAGATCCCTTAATCATTCTTACACATTTATCTTTCTTGTCTGAATCCTAACAAAGACTTAACTTTTGGTCGTTCTTAGAATTTTTTTTTTATTTTTTATTCTTTGGATTTCTCTTCCGGGTTTCAATAATTGTCACTTCCCAAGTGTAAGTTACACAAGTATACTAGTCAGTTACACAAGTGTCCCTATGTGTTTCTTTGTCTTTTATTGCATCTTTGGAAACTGAATTTATTTTTCTCTCAGATTCTGAGTCTTCAAGGGTTTGGTTTTTTCTCCGAGTATTTTTGTCCTTCAAAAAAAACTTTGGTTGCTCTCTCTGTTCAAGAAGATCCGAGCTTGATTTCTAATCTGTGAGTTTTTTACATTCCATTTAAAGCTCTGATTTTGTATTCATGTATCAATGTTTCCCCTAAAGTTCTGGTTTCAGATTAAAAGATTAAGTCTTGATGAATCTTAGGCTTAACTGAACAATATATACCTCTGTGATTTGCATTTGCAGATACTTTGAAAAGAAGAAACTAAGAAATGGGTAAAAGTTGGTTTTCAGCTGTGAAGAAAGCCTTAAGTCCAGAACCAAAACAAAAGAAAGATCAGGTCTTTTGATAGATTATACACATTTTTTGGTTATTTATATCCATCAAGACAAATGCTTGTTTATGTCTTTGATGTAATTGAAAATGGTATTGTTTTGAATCCATTAGAAGCCACATAAGGCCAAGAAATGGTTTGGTAAATCCAAGAAGTTGGATGTTACCAATTCTGGTGAAGCAGATTCTCCTCGTACTGTCAAAGACGCAAAACTTAAGGAGATTGAGGAGCAGCAGAGCAGACATGCTTACTCTGTGGCTATTGCAACTGCTGCAGCTGCTGAGGCAGCCGTTGCTGCTGCTCAAGCTGCTGCTGAAGTTGTTCGTCTCTCTGCATTATCACGTTTCCCCGGGAAATCAAAGGAAGAGATCGCCGCTATCAAGATTCAGACAGCATTTAGAGGATATATGGTATCGTTTTTGTTTCACATTTTCAAGTCTAGTAACTATTAAGGTGGATTTGCTAACTAATGGAACAAAGTTCATACTTTTTGGTTACCCTTTATTAGGCAAGAAGAGCATTGCATGCGTTGAGAGGTCTTGTGAGGCTAAAATCTTTAGTCCAGGGGAAATGTGTGAGACGTCAAGCCACGTCAACATTGCAAAGCATGCAAACACTAGCTAGAGTACAATCTCAGATTCGTGAGAGGAGGCACCGATTGTCTGAGGATAAGCAGGCTTTAACACGGCAGCTCCAACAAAAACACAATAAAGATTTTGATAAGGTAAGCAAATCCTTACAAAGATGTGTATAGTTTTAGAACAAACTTGGCTTCTTTCTTGATCTCGGATACTTAAGAAATTCACAATGTGATCTTAAAGATTGTATGTAAAGAGTTTGTTTCTTGCTACAAACTTAAAGATTGTATTACGTTTTGTGAAATAGACTGGAGAAAATTGGAATGATAGTACCCTGTCGCGGGAGAAAGTTGAAGCAAACATGTTGAACAAGCAAGTAGCAACAATGAGAAGAGAGAGAGCGCTTGCATACGCCTTCACGCATCAGGTATCAGTCTAGTTTTCTATTTTACTCTAGTTTCTTTTTACAACAGAAGAATTATGCATCTCAAAATGGTGAGACTTGTTAATATGCAGAATACGTGGAAAAACTCATCTAAAATGGGTTCTCAGACATTCATGGACCCTAACAATCCACATTGGGGTTGGAGTTGGCTCGAACGTTGGATGGCTGCTCGGCCAAACGAAAACCAGTCAGTCATACTCACACCAGATAATGCTGACAAAGAGTCTTCTAGCCGCGCCATGTCTGAGATGGTTCCCCGTGGCAAAAACCTTTCAGCAAGAGGAAAGACACCAAATAGTCGAAGAGGGTCAAGCCCCAGAGTGAGGCAAGTCCCAAGTGAAGACTCAAACAGCATGTTGAGTATCCAATCAGAACAACCTTGCAACCGTAGGCATAGCACTTGTGGATCAATTCCATCAACTAGAGACGATGAAAGCTTCACCAGTAGTTTCTCTCAGTCAGTTCCAGGCTACATGGCGCCTACACAAGCCGCCAAAGCAAGAGCTCGATTCTCAAACCTTAGTCCTCTAAGCTCAGAGAAGACAGCGAAAAAACGGCTTTGCTTCTCGGGATCTCCTAAGACTGTAAGACGGTTTTCAGGTCCACCGAAGCTGGAGAGCAATCTTACTAAGAAAGATACTAATCTTGCTTAAGCATAAGACTTTCAGAGGAATGGATATATAGTTTATATATGACATTGTTGATTAGGCAAAAGTCTGGTGCAGAGGTGAATTCAGAGAAGATTCTGTTATGTATTTGTTTTTTTGACTACTACAAACTTAATTATTTGTTTGATTTTGTTTTAATTGGTTAACATATTTGTATTGATGAAGAGACAAATATAAGCAAGATTGATGATTTGCTAAATGATATCTGAGTTCCTTACAGATTTGTTGCTAAAACCTAAAAGTAATCTAAAACATAAAACCAGTATGAAACTTAATAGGGGTGTTTATAGATCAAATAAATAATAAAGGGGTTAAAGTGGGAATAAAGAGAAATAAAAGGGCCTGTAAGCCTTATAGGGATTCTAGGGCTTTCTTTCATTGGTCGGATCAGACGACGTTTTTACTTCTTCTTCTTCTTCGCATTCGTCAGTGTGTATTTTGGGGTAAAATTTGTGAGCGAAGATCGAGAAAAATGAGCGGAGCCGGTAAGAAAATCGCGGATGTGGCTTTCAAAGCTTCAAGGACTATCGATTGGGATGGTATGGCTAAGGTCCTCGTTACCGATGAGGCTCGTAGAGAGTTCTCTAACCTTCGTCGTGCTTTCGATGAGGTTAACACGCAGCTCCAGACCAAATTTAGTCAGGTTCTATTTTCGATTTCCCCCTCTCTTGATCTGATTTTCTCACTGTTGCTGGGTTTAGACTTTTTAGATCTTTATCATTTCGATTTCTGGATCAGGTGATTCATTCACGAATTTTTACGATTATCAGATTTTTGTTGGTGACACTCGTTTTTTTGTTGATGTTGTTGTTGTTCTCATAGTTGATTGATCCAGATATATGTTAAGATCTATTTCCTTAAGACGTGTTTACTCAGAGAACATTGTGATTGATCTTTGTTTATTGATTCATTTGAAATGTGGAATTGTGTCCATGTGTACTATGATTAGTTCACTAAATTCCAATTCCAAAGAGATCTTTCATGCCCTAATTCTTGTTTTATGTCTTGGGTTGTGGAGTGATTGTTGTTTTTGGTTGATTTTTAATCCAGGAACCTGAACCCATAGATTGGGATTACTACAGGAAGGGTATTGGTGCTGGCATTGTTGACAAGTACAAGGAAGCTTATGACAGTAAGTTGTTTTATTTTCTCTGCAATTTTAGCCTGTCTTCTAATGAAACTTGTGAGTGTTTGTGTAGTCTTGAAAATTTAGTGCAACTCTTTATTTATAAGAGGGCTGAAGCTGAAAGTTCCCATACTTGTTATTTTCCTATTTGATTGTGGAGATATATCAAAGTAGATTATAAGAAACTCAACTGCATCTCTTATTGCTGTTTTTTGTTTGCTGCAGGCATTGAGATTCCAAAGTACGTTGACAAAGTTACTCCTGAATACAAGCCAAAGTTTGATGCTTTGGTGAGTTATAGCTGAGACACCCGATTATTTACAATTTTGACAAGGTCTTTTCAGTTAACATAGTGTTTTTTTTTTCTCGTGTGCCATGTTTCATGCTATATCTAGTTGGTGGAACTGAAAGAAGCTGAAGCGAAATCGCTTCAGGAGTCTGAACGGTTGGAGAAAGAAATTGCTGACGTCCAAGAGATTAGCGTAAGTAACCTAAAAAAACAAATCCTTCTTTATGAAGTTTGTCGAGTTTGCTGTGTATTTTTGTTTGAACTCAAGATTTCTGATATAATGATCATGGTTGTTTCTATGTGTTGGTGTAAATCAGAAAAAGCTCAGCACCATGACTGCAGATGAGTACTTTGAGAAGCACCCAGAACTCAAAAAGAAGTTTGATGACGAAATCCGTAATGACAACTGGGGATACTGATCATGTTTCTCCATCTCCGGCCTGGAACAAAAACTCTCTTTCTCTTTCTCTTTCTCTGTTCCCTTACTGTGATTTTGTGAGCCAATCATAACAATAATAAGTACACCATTCACTTAACCAGTGTTGAGATCTTCATTCCAAGGAAGATAAACCCATTTGGTTATAGTTATCAATTTCATAAATTGTTTCGTTTCGTTCTTCAGTGAATAATGAGAGTGAAAAGATCTCATCAATTTTATCGTTGTCAAGGAATGAAGAAGGCTCTGACTCGTCATTGTTGCATTTCCTCTCTTAGCTAACAAGTATTAAACATAGTAAAAATGTGATGTTTTTATTGACTTTTTGGGTATCATCAGTTGACCAATTCAGTGCAAAGCTAAAACCCCTGTTCTAAAAATCCCCGCCTAGACCCGATTACTCCCCGCTTAATCGCTAGGCCCACCCTGTCCGCCTCGATTAATGACTAATCCCTTAAAGAAATCAGTCACCCGATTACTCTCCGCCTAATCCGATTATTCCCCGCCTAATCCGATTATTCCCCGCCTAATCTTACATACCCCGATTATTTTTAGATTGCCAGTATAAAAAAACTTTTTATTTTTGTTATTCAATCATTTGAATTGGGAGTTTGTAATGTTTTACAATAATTTATGTTCATATTTTAATAAAAATCATAAATATTTGTCTCAAAAATACATTTTATGTGTTTACTGCAATTTTAAAAATAATATTGGATTAATATGTTTTAAAAATATTAAAATAACCCTAAAACTAATCCCCGATTAATCCCCGATTTTAATCCGATTTTCCGATTAATCGCTAGGCCCATGCCGAGCGCCCGACTAGCGCCTAGCGATTTTTCAAACAAGGGCTAAAACAAAGACAAATGTAAACCAACTCTGGTTTAACTTGAACCGGGTTTTAGAAAATTTCTCTTGACCCAGAAACACATCCCAGTACCTCTTCTCAAAACCAAAACCTTTCTTCTTCAAGACACAATGCTAATTTCTGCAATTACTCTGTATCCATTTCTAAAAAATAATCATCATACACATTGTAGCGCGTGAGGGATGGTATGCTTCTGGCTCAAGTAGAGAGCTTACTTGATGGAGCTTTGCGCAACCATAGAAAGTTCACGAACTTGTATGCGGTTATCAAAGGTGAGTGAGGTCTTTGATTCTGTACCGTTCATAGAGGATTACTTACTATAATCGATTGCTATTTCTGTTTTCCCGTTAAGTCTCTCTATAAGGTCCTGTAGTATGCTGTGTTTTTTTTTTTTTTTTTTTTTTTACCTGTTTATTGAAAATCAGCTTATTGTGTGTGATTTTATACAGCTTCTAAGAAACCCATGTCGGAAATTAATCATGTACTTTGGTGCTTTGAGATTGTCTATGGGAACTCTGATTTTGGTAATCTGCAGATGGGAATGAACATCTTTGTATTCGGATAGGAACAAAAGTTTACTTGCTTTGAAGGCTATGGCTATTGGCTAGATTGGTGAGAGTTAAGAAACCAACATATAACATTTGTCCACGAAAAGGGTTGGAATCTAGAGCAAAGTGAAAACTTTGGTAAGAAACTGAAACCCTCTTTTTTGGCTTTTGTCAATATAGAGTTCATGTTACTGCTTGAATAATTACACGAAACCAATATTTGTTAGCTATGTGCTTAGTGTATAATGCTTGGTAGCAAGTAGAAAGAAAAATCTTTATTGGTCAAAAAGAATCAAGATCCACGTGCTCTTCTCCTACCCTCTTTGTTGAACCGAAAGTCAGGTTTTGGCCTTTTGCTAATAACTATATCAAAGAAGATAGGGAGATAAGACCAATTTCCTCTTTAAAGTTAAACATGTATCTGTAAAATGCATGAGCCAGATATTAGCTCGTAGGTCTTGCTCTCATATCTATCACGTGTCTAAGGCCAAAGGGTTTAGCATGTAAATCAATCCATTTTGGAGGGTATATTACCGTACATTCATCTAACTTACTCTCCCATTCCCAACTCTATAAATAGGTGATGTGTGTGTCCAAGCTCCAAACAAAACAACACAACACAACAGGGAGCTTCCCAATACCTCAACACAAGGTAACTTGTAACCCTTTTAATGAGTCTAGTTCACTCAATTAATGGTTCAACAAATATCAATTCTTTTGGCCTTTTGATTCTGAAACGTACAGAAACAATATGGAAATGGGAACCTCATCATCATCATCAGGCTTGGTCAAGGCCAAATCTGAGACACTTGCAGAAGCTCTTAAGTCTACTTCACTTGATTTTAGCAACGATGACGGTAGCAGCCATGGGAACAAGCAGCATGTGAGGGCAAAGACATTATCATCGCCGAGCCACAGTGGCAGCCACAAAAACAGAAGGAACACACACATAAGGAAGGCCAAGAGTGCACACCCTGCTCTTGACCTTGGTAGTCTCACTGGTGGTGCTGCTCTTAGCCGAGCCTCCAGTGCTTCCCTTGGACTTTCCTTCTCTTTCACTGGCTTCACCGTGCCACATGAAGAGATTATTGCTTCAGAGCAATGTAGCAATGACGATATCTGTAAGAAAACCATTACACACGGCAACTGATTGAAGTCTTGATGTTAACTTTGAAGTTTATTGGGTTCTTGTTCTGTTATCATTCATGTTGCAGTGGAAGATATTGAAGCAGCAACTAGTACTGTGGTCAAGTTTCAGGCAGAACCAACCTTTCCGATATATCTTAAGGTAACCCATCTCCGTGGATAGATGATTTTATGGGAAACATGGGAAATTGATCACTATGATATCTCTATTTGAACGCAGGCACTGATGGAGATAATGTAATTAAACCATCAACACCCAAAAGTCCATAGAAATATATTAAATTTTGCTGCCATTGGTCAGTCCAAACTTCAATGGGTCTGTTGTAACTCATATGATGTTTCCTAAACAAGAATTCGCCATTTCTCCCATAAAGAAGAAATCCATAAATTTTACAAGTAGAATAATCTTCATCATTGCATTAAGACATTTGGAAACCTCTGTTTGCCTTCTTTGTTAGTCTAACTTTGGTACCCAAATGTCAAGCTTAGGAGGCTCATCTACCATTTACTGGTTATCGGCAACATGTGAAGCAGAGCTTCACGCTGGACCAAAAGGGTATGGTTATATTGGTATTGTCTTGTATAAATCAGAGAGAATTCTAGTCATATTTCTCTGGAAAAATAATGGTTTTCTTGAAAATCTTGTCATATAGGAACATTTACAAGTAAAACTTAGTGACCAAATCAATTATTTTTATGTGCTATGCAGTTCATAGATATCACATACAAGGTAACGACCAAAGGAATGACATCTTCATCAGAAAAGAGCATCTTGAATGGAATTAGTGGTTCAGCATATCCAGGGGAGCTTCTAGCTCTCATGGGACCTTCTGGAAGTGGCAAAACTACACTACTTAATGCGCTTGGTGGCAGGTTTAATCAGCAAAACATCCGTGGGTTCGTTAGCTATAATGATAAGCCATATTCTAAGCACTTGAAAACCAGGTAATAAGAAGATTCCAGCGTGGTCTCTTGATGAATATGTAGATGCATATATAAGTGTAAAGTTGACACGGGAAAGCACCATGGCAGGATCGGATTTGTGACTCAAGATGATGTTCTGTTTCCTCACTTAACTGTAAAAGAGACACTGACCTACACAGCTCTTTTACGTCTTCCTAAAACTCTCACAAAGCAGGAGAAGGAACAAAGAGCTGTTAGTGTGATACAAGAGCTTGGATTGGAAAGGTACATTATCCTCTACTACTACCGTCTAACAACTTAGGAACTTTCTCTTATGGTAAATCTAAATCTTAAGAATGAAACCTAATTAGAAGATTGCGACTATTATTGTTTTAGGTGCCAAGACACAATGATTGGAGGGTCATTTGTACGCGGTGTCTCAGGTGGGGAGAGGAAAAGGGTTTGTATTGGGAATGAAATCATGACTAATCCTTCACTTCTTCTCCTTGATGAACCCACCTCTAGTTTGGACTCTACTACCGCTCTTAAGATTGTTCAGATGCTACAAAGTATAGCAAAGGTAAGACATCCACTCTTTACAGCCCCAAATCATGTTTTTTTTTTTAATGGATTTGACCATATCCAAGTTCTTATTTGTTGGCATGCAGGCGGGAAAAACTATTGTAACAACAATCCACCAACCGTCTAGTAGGCTCTTCCATAGATTTGACAAGCTGGTTGTACTCAGCAGAGGAAGCTTGCTTTACTTTGGCAAAGCATCAGAAGCAATGTCTTATTTCTCTTCCATAGGATGTTCTCCTCTACTCGCCATGAACCCAGCAGAGTTCTTACTGGACTTAGCTAATGGAAACATGAACGATATTTCCATACCCTCAACTCTTAAAGAGAAAATGAAGATGGGAAATTCTTGCAGCGAGATGGGATCTTCCAAGCCAAGTCCTACAGTTGTATATGAGGTGAGACAAGGATGAGATACCTTTACATATCACGAATTCGTTTAGAGCTATATGTAATAAATGCTAACTGTGATGTTGATGCTGAAACACAGTATCTTGAAGAAGCTTACAAGACACAGATTGCAATCATGGAAAAGATGAAACTTATGACCCCAGTTCCTCTTGATGAAGAAGTTAAATTGATGATAACTTGCCCCAAACGTGAATGGGGATTAAGCTGGTGGGAACAGTATTGTTTACTTTCCTTAAGGGGAATCAAAGAACGGAGACATGACTATTTCAGCTGGTTAAGAGTCACTCAAGTTCTCTCCACTGCTATCATCTTAGGTTTGCTCTGGTGGCAATCAGACATTCAACATCCCAAAGGCCTACAAGATCAGGTATAGATACATATTTATGGTCTAGAATTAGTTGTAATTGGTTGTCTATTGCCTTAAAAGTTGGAACTCTCTCTGCATCTCAGGTAGGGCTACTCTTCTTTATTGCCGTATTCTGGGGATTCTTTCCGGTATTCACGGCGATCTTCACATTTCCTCAAGAGAGAGCAATGCTGAGCAAGGAACGAGAGTCAAATATGTATAGATTAAGTGCATATTTTGTGGCTAGAACCACAAGCGACCTGCCACTTGACTTGATATTACCTGTGCTTTTCCTAGTTGTTGTATATTTCATGGCTGGATTGAGATTAAGAGCTGAATCCTTTTTCCTAAGTGTGCTCACGGTCTTCCTATGCATTGTTGCAGCTCAGGTATGGACATAAAACAAAGGACATGTTGAACAAAAAATGCTAACAACTAATAATGACAATGTTGTTTTAGGGACTTGGATTAGCAATAGGGGCGAGCTTAATGGACCTGAAGAAGGCAACAACTTTAGCATCAGTAACTGTAATGACTTTTATGCTTGCTGGTGGCTACTTCGTGAAGGTAAATATTATAAACAGGCTTGGACAACATAGTTCATTGTTCTTATAATGAGAATGTTCTAAATAAGTTTGCCTCTAATTAAGCCTTGTCATTCATAAATAGAGGAGTTTTGCAACTCTAATGCAATGATTGACACACTGTTTTCAATGGCAGAAAGTTCCATTTTTTATTGCTTGGATACGTTTCATGTCCTTCAACTACCACACATACAAGCTCCTTGTGAAGGTACAATATGAAGAAATCATGCAAAACGTAAACGGGGAAGAAATTGAGAGTGGGCTTAAGGAAGTGAGCGCTCTTGTAGCTATGATTATAGGCTACCGTCTCGTAGCCTACATTTCTCTTCGAAGGATGAAGCTCCACTCTTCAACTTACGTTTAGAGACAAAAATTGTCCATTACACTTTGTAGTGTTTGATTGTCTATACATTTACCCACTTGGTTTGGAATGTATAATAAAATAACGTACTATCTATATCTAGGTTTCCAAATACATGATGCTCTCAATATCACCCCAAAAAGTTGACCGCAACCAAAATCTCTTCTTAAACCTACCAGGTAATGATGGCCTTATTTCAATCCTTCGAGTTATCTCATTCCTCGCCAAACCATAAACGAAACGGGTTGATTTGGACTGAGATGTGCATTTATCAACAAAACCTTGTCACTGTGACTAGGGCCACCCATCATCAACCGATAACCATTAAAAAAAAAAAATTCATCTTACAAACATGCAAATCAATAGTCTTCTTGTCAGCATCTTCAAGAACCCAAAAATCTATCAATGTTTGAAAAGGAAGATGAGGAATATGGCATTGAGTCTATCAAATGTTTTCTTAGCAAAAAAAAAAAAAAAGAGTCTATCAATGTTTTAGGTTTTCAAATACATGATGCTATCAATGTGTTCCCAAAAAACTATGAGAAACTTATTGGTCTCCTTAAAGCTATCACGTAATGATGGTCTTATTTCAATTCTTCGTGTAATTTCATTCCTCTCCAAATCATAAATGAAAAAGAGTGCGGGTGCATTCGGCTTGAGATTTTCCTTTGTCAACAAAACCTTACCACTGTCTCTAGTGCCACCAATCACCAACCGGTCTCCATGGACGAAATTCATCTGAGAAACAGGCAAAACAAAAGTCTTCTTGTTCGACCACTGACTCTTGTCGGCATCTTCAAGAACACAAACATCCACAATGCCATCACTTGAAAGAAGCGTATCTTCACAAGTAGCAACTTTTCCTTGGTAGTTAATCAGACTGGTGCATGACAAGTTCTCATAGGGCAATAATTCAATCAAATTGAACTCTTCAGAACTCAAGTCAAAACTCACAAGCACACCTCTATCTTCATCAGTCCAAGCTATATAATACAAAACACCGTTAATAGTCATCCCTTGCGAGTGTGGGTAAAAAGGACCATGAGGAGTGTCGTTGTGGCTTTGAGTGTTTCTCCATGTAGCTCCATCACCAAGTACCAACACTTGATGTTCTGATCTCACTACTCTCTCTTCCTTGTTGACCTCCCAAACTAAGCTAAGCACTTTATATTTATCATGAACAGGATCGTGTTCAAAACAATGCCACACATTGGTAGATCTCATTAGGGGAAATTCCACAACCTGCCTTGTGCTAGGGTTACAAACTTTCACTCTTCTCCTAGTTCTGTAACACAACAAACCACGAACAGAGTTCACGAAGTAGCCTCCCATTACCGGCATGGTCGAATGTTGGTCAATCACAGAGACAGATATGTCCGAGTGATCATGACTCGATGATGATGATTTGAGCAACAAACACTTTCTCTGATTTTCACAATCCACAAGATACGCGAAAAAACAACGTGATGGTGAAGGTTTAATTAGGAAACGGTTGGCGAAGTATCGAGAGGTGATAAGGGAAAGCCAGATCTTTGAGACACACTTAAATCTCATCAGAGATTTCGCCGGCAATCTGATTAGGATATCGATCAACATTTCTTCAGTGATCTCTGGTAAGATCACCAAAGTCTTCTTCTCTTTCTTTTTCCTCACGACAAGACTTAAAGACGATCCCATATTACAAGCTTCAGTGGAGGTTTCTCTTCTCCTTGTTACAGGTTTGAGAATCAGAAAGAAGGAGAGTATACAACACCCAAGAAACACACAACAAAGCCCCAACTTTTCTTGTCCCTTAAAAGATTGCATTTCAAACTTGTTCTCTCTGTTTTGTATGTTGCGGCTCTCACAAGCTAAGCTGCTGCATACTTTATGTGTAAAACCCTTGCTCTCTCTTTCCTACGAGGAAAATGATTTCCATTTGTAGTTGGGCTTGTTCTCAGCTTTTGGCCCAACTGAATTTCATGGTTTTAGATAGGCTCAAAAAACTGCAGGTACAAGGGAAATTGACTGGAGCCCAAATCATCCACACCTGTCTACAAACGAATGTTAATTAATGATTCCTCGGATCTTGAAACAGACTTAGACAACTCTTAACTCTTAAGCTTTAACCACATGACCTTGAAACTCTCTCTTAAGGCCTCTCCTTGTGAATTCCAAAGTCAACTTCGTTGCAAAAACCAGGAAAAAAAATGGGGATGTCTTTGGGAAAGCCATTTTCCGGTTTTTACCAAGAAATCGAACCGATAATAGTGTTGTTTGGTCATGACGCTACCGGAAAATCATCAATAATGCACAAGAAATAGCAGGGCTTGTGTTTGTAGTCGATAGCACGGATAGAGATCGAATAGAAGAGGCCAAATATTTTCTTAACATGGTGATTGATGAGGTAATTAACAAACTTTTAAACCTGTCTTTTAGACATTGAGCAATAAGTCACATAATTTTAATGTTGTATAACAGATACAAGGGAGTGTCCCGGACAATGTGGCTGTTCTTGTATATGGAAACAAGCATCAAGTTCCTGGTGCTATGTCTGCTTCTGAGATCAGTAACAAGCTTGATCTCACTTCTCTTCGTAATAAAAATTGGCAGAGAAACTGGTAATTAAGAAGATATAAGAAAACCTTTCTAATTCTGCAAATAGGATTGATTCTTCTCATCATGATATTTTTTTTTTTTCGCTTGCTAGGCATGTCCAGAGCTCATGTGCATTCTGTGGTGATGGTTTACATGAAGGACTCGACTGGCTGTTGAAAAATGCTGAAAGAATTTAAGAATGTGTCCTGATGTTTATTGAAAATCCATTTAATAATTTGGAATGTAAAAACAAAATGACAAACTATATTTAGGTTTCCAAGTACATGATGCTCTCGGTATCATCCCAGAGAGTAGGCAACAACAAATCAGTCTGTTTAAAGCTACCAAGTAATGATGGACTTATTTCAATCTTTCGAGTTATCTCATTACCCACCAAATCATAAATGAAAAAGTGTAAGGGTTGATTCCACGAGAGATTTTCCTTTCTAAGCCAAACTTTGCCACTGTGACCTGTGCCACCCATCACAAAGTCATATGTCTGAGCGAAATCTGTAGGCAAAACAAAAGTCTTCTTGTGTGACCATTGACTCTTGTTGACATCTTCAATTACCCAAACACGCACACTACAATCAGAAAAAATAGTAACATAGTCAAAAACAGCTATTTTTCCACTGTAGTTCATGAGACTTGGCCAAGGGGATCTCTGGAGGTAGCCAACTTTATAGGGTAATTCAATCAAATTGAACTCTTCAGAACTCAAGTCAAAACTCATAAGCACACATTTCTTGTCATCAGTCCAAGCTCCATAGTACAAAACACTGTTGATGGTAATCCCTTGACAATAAGGAAAATGGTGAATGTGGCATTGAGTCATTTTCCATGAAGCTCCAGCTCCAAGTACCAACACATGATGTTCTGATCTCACTTTCCACTGCTCCCTATTGTGCCTCCAAATGAAACTAAGCACTTTGTATTCGTCATGAACAGGATCGTGTCCTAAATAGTACCATATATTGTAATCTTCTCCTCCTTGAGGTGTTAGAATAATCGGCAATTCCACAAGCTGCCTTGTGTTAAGGTTACAAATTTGCACTCTTGACCCAACTGTGAAACACACCAAGCCACGACAAGCGTTCAAGAAGTAGCCTCCCATTATCGGCATGCTTAGATCTTGGTCGATCACAGAGACAGAGTGATCATCATGACTCGATGATTCGACGTGATGAGCAAGATTTATAGAATAGGTTGGTCAAGTATCGAGATCTGATCATGAAAAGCCAGAGCTTTGAAACGCACTTAAATCTCAGCAAAGATTTCATCGGTAATCTGATCAGAATCTCGATCAACAAGTCCTCATAGAGTTCGGGTAAGACCATTATTCTCTCCTTCTTTTGCTTTTTCCTCACGGCAAGACTCAAAGACGAAATCATAGTTGTTTTGTTTCCAAAACCTATGTTAATGTATCTTATTTTCTTTTTTTCCTTTGCCCCAAATCTTTTACGACGGCAACACTCGAAGACGACCCCATAGTTGTTCACAGAGTTACGTTGTATCTCCAAAACCTATGTCAATCGATCTTATTGTATACAGTTTCATTGTTACCCTGTCAAAGACTAAAGAATGAGATTACTTGATGATGCAAAGAGTTGAGGATATTATGCCCTAGTTTCCTATTAACAAGAAAAAGGAGAAACAATTCAAGGTAGTGTGCTTTTGCATTATATAAAAAGCTTGCTTGCTTAGGGTTTGGCTCGGTTTGAAAAACATGCAAACAATCTAAATTTATGCTACTCGGCCCAAAATATTTGTTATGGGCCATTGTACTTTTTTTTTGGTCGGTGGGCCATTGTACTTATGTTATATATATCATGAATTTCATATTCTTTCTTTTTCTTTTCTCTTTAAAAATCTATTTATTCTTTAAGCTAGTTATGTTAATACACTTCAAATTATCAACTTTCAATCGTGTCCACATATTCTCAAGGGTATTTTATTAATTAGTACTATGTTTTAAGAAAGTCCCCAAAAGTTTAAGACTCAATTATCAAGACCTCAAAATATTCATTATCTTTAAAGAAACCTAAAGTTCCAAACTTTGTCTATTAAAAGAAAAAGTTATGGCAATATTTTGACTTTGGGAGGTGAAACTGAAAAGACCAATCTTTTCTATTGCAGATACTCTGAACTAACAGAAACGAACAATAGAGAAACAAATATTCTTTCCTCTTTTAATGCTTGAAAGATCCTGACCGTTGATCTTCGCTTTATGGGTGGATGGGGCGGCATTAACTACGTGGTCCTTGAACTATCGCTATACGTCCAACACGCGGAATAGTGTGTGTGAGTGTTATTCTTCTTCTTCTTCAGAAAAAAAAAAAAAAAGAGAAAACGTTTTTCTTTCTCTCTCTCAACTTGCAGAAGAAGCGATTTACACAAGGTTTTGTGATTCCTTCTCACTTATATAATTCTCTGTATAAACATTTTGATGGGATGTTCATGTTGTTTGATGCTTGCAATTGGTATCAAAATCGTTTTTTTTTTATCTGTTATTGAAGGAACTGGGTTTAGACATTTATCTCTACTTATAGAATCTGCATTTGTCCCAAGTTAAAGATAGAATCTTGTTCTGCTCCTTATCTACTTTTGTTTTGCTCTCTTTACCAATTGTTTGAATGTTATGAACAAAACCCATATGCCAAAATTCTCTTCAAACCATTAGTCTCAATATAGCAACAATAGTGAGATTTCATTCAAATAATGTATTTGCCTCTGTGCCCATTTACAGGACTAACCATGGAGCGGCTGATTTCTCATCCTCCTCTCATGATCGTCTCAGACCTTGATCATACCATGGTAGGAGTTGATTCTGTAACTCTCTCTCTCTCTCTGTTTGCATTTTCAGAAAAAAAAAGGTTTCTTGATGTGATTCATGTTTGGCAGGTTGATCATCAAGATCATGAGAACCTCTCTCTTCTCAGGTTCAATTCATTGTGGGAATACGCTTATCGCCGTGACTCTCTTCTTGTCTTCTCTACCGCAAGATCACCAATTCTTTACAAAGAATTGAGAAAAGAGAAACCTTTGTTGACTCCTGATATCACCATTACATCAATAGGAACCGAGATAGCATTTGGTAACTCCATGGTTGCTGATCATGCTTGGGTTGAATCCTTGAACACCGATAAATGGAACCGGGAAATAGTCTTGGAAGAAACTAGCAAGTTCCCTGAGTTAACTCTTCAGCCAAAAACTGAGCAGAGGCTACACAAGGTCAGCTTTTACATTGATGAAGGTAAAGGTGAGGCATTGACCAAGGAACTATCACAATTGCTGGAGAAACGTGGCGTTAAGTGTTTACTTATTATCTTTTCGTGGGATCTTTGTTTCTTGAAACCAAATTGTTTGTGATGTTGGTAGTGTTCTTTATTTTTTCAGTTGGATGTCAAGATAATTTACAGTTGGGGAAAGAATGTGGATGTTATACCGCGAGGTGCCGGAAAAGGAGAAGCCCTCGAGTATCTTCTCAAGAAGCTGCAGGCTGAAGGAATATTCCCGGTTAATACTCTTGCTTGCGGTGACTCTGAACATGATGCTGAACTATTTAGCATTCCCGATGTTCACGGTGTTATGGTAATAATGTTCAATCATCACAATCTCGCCATTCTTACCAAAAAAACTGACTAGTTTGTCTATGTGCTTTGTGAAGGTGAGCAATTCCCAAGAAGAGCTATTGAAGTGGCGTTCTGAAAATGCTTTAAACAACCTAAAGGTTATACATTCAACCGAGAGGTGTGCGGATGGGATTATTCAAGCCATTGGCTATTTTAATCTTGGCCCAAATCTTTCTCCAAGAGATGTTTCTGAATTCTTGGATCGTAAGACGGACAATGCGAATCCTGGTCACGAGGTTGTGAGATTTTACTTGTTCTATGAGAAATTGAGACGCGGTGAGATCAAGAACTATGAGACATACATAGCCAGCTTCAAAGAGTCATGTGTGAGTAACTTAGATGCAAATAGAATCCATACTTATGTCTCCACTGGACTAATTCCTCTTTCTTGGAACATTTTCAGCTCCATGCTGCTGTCCATTTTCATCCATCAGGTGCAGAGAAATCTCTGAGTGACACCATTGATGAGCTGAAGAAGTGTTATGGTGACAAAAGAGGGAAGAAGTTTTGGGTTTGGGTAGATCAGATTCTGATAACAGACACCATTCCTGGCAAATGGATAGTGAAGTTTGATAAGTGGGAGCAATGCGGTAAAAAACAACGCCAATATTTGCAATATGATCCTTTGATGACTAATATGAGCAAGTCCTAAGATTTATATATAACATTTAATTGTTTGTTACATTTGGCAGAGGATGAACGTCAATACTGCAAAACGACTGTCGAATTCACTTCAAAGGTATGATCAAATTCTCGAAGATTAGCTCGATTAAGTATCTTAGATTGAATGAAACTGAAATGAAATTCTGCAGGGAGGAGATTTGGTGTGGGAGAAGGTGAAACAGATATGGTCTGAGGAACCAGAGGTGAAGGATGATGATAATAGCTCTTGGATTCTCTGAATATTTTGGAGACTGCTTTTCTCTTTCTCATGAGTGAATTGGTATATGAACATTCTCCTAGTAGGCATTATAAGTTTTGAAATTTTTTGATACTTTTTATTCTTTAAAGAATAAATATAACTTGAGATTTGGAAGTTTATGAAAAAAAATGAAAATTACGAGGGCCCAACCGGGTTCGAACCGGTGACCTCTTGATCTGCAGTCAAATGCTCTACCACTGAGCTATGGACCCGTTGTTGTTCATCGTAGCTATCTTAAAAAAATTAACTCTAAAACTCTAAATTTACTTTGTTTCTTTCTAATAGAAGTTTGGTAATGGTCAAAATGAAATAACTTGCTTATATTTTTCTCTAAACATGATTCCCCTACCTTATAATTAATTGTTTCTTTTAATCTTAACCCTTTTTTGTCTATAACTATTTTCATCATAGAACTAGGCAATAGAAAACAGAGTTTTAAAGATTATGCTGTATATACATAAGCTTTTGGGACATCTAGGGTCAATAAGAACAAAATGAGAAAACCTAGTTATATATTATCAGGCCAGAACTCCCTGCGGAAGGCTCGTTCTAATTCGTTTTCAGCTAAGCGTTTTTCGTGCTCAATCATCTTCCGCAATTTCTTAGAAAGTTTCTTGCTCTTCTTTGATACTTCTTCAGAAGATGTATCCTGAGTCTGTGCCGCTTTTCTCTTAGCTGGTTTTTCAGATCCTAGTCCTTGTTTGTTATGTTTTGGCTCTGCTTGTAGAGGCTCCAATATACCTTGTTCAGCGATTCCAAGACCAGTACCTTCCTTCCAGCCATGCTTCTTTAGGAGCTGAAATCCAATGTTAGAAGAATTGATAGCAGCCAATGAATTGCTTGATTCAGAAGAATCACCAATAACACTGGACACTTTTTCACTATTTGGAGAAGTTGTAGCCTGAGACTTGTCTGTTTTCTTCCTCCTTTGTATATTTGTCTCTGCTCCTAGTCCCTGTTTGATGATTCCCAGACCAGTACTTTCCTTCCAACCTTGCCTCTTTCGGAGCTGAACAACGGACGTTTCTCTCTGTGTACAAGCCAGAGATTTTGTTCCTTGCATCGTAAGAAAGGGACTTCTTCCGTTTAGGGTTTTTGTTTCGTCAAAAAAAAATCAGAGTTATTGTCAACTAACATTCTCCAATACTTATGATGATACATTCTCCTTATTGTTCCCTAACACATGAGGAATTACTACTGGGCTTATGCCCCTTTACGTGCCTTATCCACAAAAGAAACAATTATTGTTTCCTAATCAAGTTTAGGAACTAATTATGTTTATATAAACCTAATGTTGGCAGATTCAATGGCAGTCCAAAAACGTGGAATTGAAGCAATCGCTGAACAAAACAAGACTAAGAAACCCTAGAATCGCCGAGATGAGCTAAGGAAAGTTGCGCAAAAAATAGCTTCGAGTAACTTAGAGAAGGCCTCGGCCTCTTTCTACATCCGAGCCACCGCCTCTTCTTAATTTTAATCATTTCCTAATGTAAAAATAAAATTCTGAGTGATGCAATTATTATATATAGAATCGCTCATTAGGTCATTAGTTTGTGAATGTGATGAACCGATGTGATGTGGTGTGGTGAGTCTAATATACCAAACCAGAACATTAGACTTAAACCAGTTTACCCAGTCGACAAAAAATGAAACCCATTCATAGTAAATTAATTTTTTTAAAAATTAATTCAATATTTTTAATTTACTGTGGCTATAAAACCTAAACTGAAGCAGCAACAAAAAGAAAAAAAAAAAAACATGAAACTATTACAGCTATTCTAAACAACCAAACCATCATACAGAATTGGTTTTGAATGATAGTATATCTATCGAATGATTCTAATCATGTTTTTGGGTCATATATAATTTGGATGACATCAAATGTTTGAATCTTTTTTGGTTCATATATTCTCTGGTTCATATATTTTCCCCAAACTGACAAGTTTCAAAAAAGAAAAAAGAAAGAATCAGACCGAACCCACTACCTGTCAGCAAACCCGTAGTAGAGGTTGTTGGAACCACATCTCAAAACCAACCATATCTATATATTGGCTTTTATATAGTCCTCATCTCTCTTTATTTTTATGTTATCCTATGAAATTGATATAGAAAGCACACTTCCTAACCTTCACTCATTGGACAAATATGAAATTATATCATTCCATATAAGTCTTGGCAGTTATAGGACTTATTGTATGGGCCTGATTGGTGTTTCCAAATAAATATCACCAATGTGCCAAAAAAACATTAAAAAGCAAGTTGATGGTAGAAATAAAACCAAAAATATAATAGTAATATACCATGGAAAATCTAGCTTTTGAAGACTCCAGTCCCGCCTTATCTCAATTTAAAGGAAAGAAAGTTTAGAGTAAGACCTAACTCTATGTGTTTAAATATTATATTGTTTGGAAATTTTTATGAAGAAAATTATAACTTTGAAAGTGTCTTACTTTTTATCGTTTGACCACGAGAATAATATACTAGATGTAGGATTAAGTTTGGAAAATACGAATTTTTACAATTTCCGAATTCAAATCATTACCAGATTGACCATTATTTGTAGTATACTAGGATGTGCTAATTTTGAATCATATATTGTATGGTATTGAATTAAAAAAAAAACATACTCTAAAATTATCCGGAATCGTATATCATATACTATTATAGTTGTTTTAACTATCTAATTAATAATAAATATATTTTTATATATAAAAAAATAGATTGTCATTTATCTAACAACACAAATATTTAATAGAGTGCTATATAAAAAAAAATTAAAATCTGAATCTGATTCAATCAAAGAATCAAACTTTGGTAACAGATTTAGAACATAGCAAAGAAAAGTGAGAGAGACGTTCAAAGTGTTCTTGTATTTAGACAAAACAAACAAGAGGAAGAGGTGGTGGTGGTGACTGCTGTTACACTTACAAAAAAAGAAAAAAAAAAAAAAACAGTATATTAATTTGTTTTATGACGCATCGATTAAATCAAAAATTGAATATAATCGAGTTGTTTGTTTGTTGACCAAATAAGAAAAGAAAATTACTTAATTTGATTTTTTTTTTTTTTTTTTTAAGAAGGATGTGTATATAAATAAAAAAAAACCTTCTTCTTTCTCAAATCCTCTCTGTAATTCTGGTTTTTTTATTTTGCAATGCTTCTTCCATTTCTCTCATCCTCCCTCCTTCTCCGTCTCTCTTCTCCGATCATGTCCCCTGATCCCACCAAAACTTTCTTCATCTCTTTTTCCAATTGATAATTAGACGGAGAATTACAGATCGATCCCCGATTCCAATAATTACAGAAGAAAATTAAACCCTAGAGAGATATTTATGGAGAGTTCCTTAGGTTTCATGGCGGTTTTCGCCGTCTCGGGAAGCGTCGTGTTCTTAGCGAGTCAATTTCATAAGCGTCTTCTCTCCGATTACATGGACAAGTTCGATTTCGAAATCCGTACGTTTTGTATTTTTTTTTTTTGTCAAAATTGATTGATTATGAAAATCGAAAAAAGTTGGGGGATAATTGTTGTTTTTCTGTTACAGGAGCGCAGCAAAAAATGGTGATGAAGAAAAAGGTGAGATTCGCGGCGGATGTGGTGGAGCCGTCGGGGAATAACAAAGAGTATCGCCGGAGACACTCTTCCAAGGCTAAATCCAATTCCAAGATGGCGGCAACTATTTGATTTTAAGGTTTTTTGTACAAAATTAATATGTAATTATTCATTGAAAATTCGTGATTTAATTTCGGATTTTTTTTTTTCTCTCATCTGAATCTGAATCTGGGCTAAACCTTTCAAGTCTTCCCAGGGTCAATTCTTTTTCTCTTTTTTTCTTTTCTTTAATTTTAATTTTTTTTGTTGAGGGGATTTCTTACTTGTAAATATTGTGTTGTTTGTGTAAATACAAAATGTGATTGCTAATTACTTTTCTTAAATATGTGTTGTTATTATCTAGCCTAAGCCTTAATTAAGGGTTTTTACATACAGATGTAATATGTTGCGCTGGCTCTTAGTTAGAACTTTCCAGTATCATAGTTAATTATGTATAACTATGATTATGTTTGGTGATGAATAGAGTGACGTAATAACTAATTATTAAGGTGATTAATTAAATTTGCATTGATTTTTGATGATACTGAATCATCTCTTTTTATCTCATAATTAATTTTTTTTCTTCACTAAGTTACAAATCCGACATGCCTACCAAAAAAAAAGTTACAAATCCGACATCATTCGATATCCTATTAACCCAGATTTTACCAATCTAATAGTACTCTCAAGTCATATAAAATATTCGCCTACAAGAAAAAAGTCGTATAAAATTTTTCAATATTTGTTTCAGAATTTGTTTGTTACTTTGTTTGTTTTTTTTTTTGTTTTTTTTGCAGATATCAACAAAATTACAATGTGATTATCACATACTCCCTCCGAATTCTGATTAATTGATGTTTTAAGAAGAAAAAAATTGTTTCAATTTTTTGTTGTTTCAAATTTCTAAGTAAAATTAATTATATTTTTTATGAAAATTTATATTTTATATTATGCAGATTGTTTTATATTGGTTGAATTGTTTTAAAAAAGAATAAATCATATTTTATTTTATTTTCTTAAAACAAAAGGTATAGAAAAAAATAAATGATTTCTTAAATATTTATTTACAACAACCTTGAACATCAATTAAAATGAAACAGCAATTAAGAAATACTACTATATCTCATCAAATTGAAACCTGCATGAAATTTGAATTGATGGTTGAAAAAAAAAAAAAACTAAAAAATTGAACCACTACGTTTATGTTTGGTTTTTTGGTCCATGCAGTTTTTTGGTCAAAGAAGAAAAACTTGTTCAAGAAAAAGAGACTCGTGAGTACAGATAAACCAAACTCAAGTCTGTACATTGTTAATCAGTTAACTACAAATCACGGTTAAATATATACTTTATGTTATCTTGGCATTAACGTATGAAAGCAATAATATTTCACAAAGTCAAGTGTATACTAATATGTTTTCTGGAGCAAAGTGACAGCAGAATCTTAAAGACTTATTAAACATTCAAGATTTATAAAGATTTGGGATACAAAAGAGTCCGTAAAATGTTATATAAAATACCAATTTGTTAGAAACGTGGTATTTTAAATTAATGAAAAGGGTTATCATGAACAAACCCCGAAGGGTCATAGGCCAAATTAAAATGTGGCTTACGAGAGTATGGAATTGGTCATTTTATTTAAAAAATATTAATCTTCTGACGATTACAACGTGACGACATGCATACTTTTATCCAACCATATATTCTTAATTCTTATAATATAGTATTTGCATCACCCTGTAAGTGAGGATGACGACATAAACAGAGGGTAAAAGGGTCTCATCGAATAGAAGGTTCGTATTCTCATTAATTTAGTTAGTCGTTTAACATAATTACAACAAGTCATAATCATGTTTTTGTTTTTGGCAACGAGGTCATGTTTCTCCAAGGCATATATAGTGGGCTGGTGATGGGTAGTTAGATTCACTTACGGCCCAATTTGTTGGAAACCATTTCTATTGTGTGAGATTTTTTCTTCAAGTTTTTAAGCCTTTTTTTTTTTCATTAAAAACATCCCAAACGGACCTGGGTTGGGCCTTACAAATTATAATCTAGTTACAAAAAAAAACCCAAAAGAAAAAATTTGCCGTCGACGGAAATGAAGGCTCGGACCCTGCTGATGGTCGGTTACACGGCGGCCGGAGCATTAGATCCGATGAACCCGAGATCCCCAAACTTCACGGGTTATTAAGATTTGTTTTTTTTTCTTTCTAAATAACACCGCAATAGCGGCCTGACGGGTATGTTTCGAAGGGGATTGCCAAGTACTTGTTCATCTACTCCAAGATAAGAGTCTTATTATAAGACATAAGATTAAAGATTGGACAATCTATAGTTGTTGATATACATTGGTGGGAGTTTCACTTTCAAAGGGTTTTGTCATTACCATACTTATAGAATTTGGATGATCTAGCTAACACTGAGAGTGATTATTATGCTTGTGTATTGTATGACTATACCAATTTGGTTCTGTTCATCTCAATTGTGACTGTAACTTTTTCATCTTAATAAATTTCAAGTTTGAGTAAAAAGACAACACCACAAGTACAATTTAAGCTTTCTCTATTAGACAGTTACATAACTTTTTTTCTTTTGTTTCCAACCAAAAGTACTCCTTCTTGTAGCATTTAAGATCATCGTTTTACCAAAAACCGTTCTCTTTTCATCCATGATTAAAATTAGTTTTGGCTATATTTTCGTAAAAGAAAACATGTATGTTTTTACGTAGTTATATATTTAAATATATTTTTCTATAACATTATATGGTAAAGTTCGTCAATTTATTTAATACTCTATATATTGCATGCATGTCATAGTATATTTTAAAAATTTATGTCTAGGTTAAATAGAGGAAATATAGTATTCCAGTGAATAACATTAGTTTTATGCATTTATTCAGATTGTCTTGTGTCTTATTACGTGCATGTGCCCAGATCATAGACCAATTAGCTGTCTGAAATATAAATGTCTGTTGTTCTATTAAATGCCATGATCCATAAAATATCTCGCATCAAATTCATACAGACGTGTATTTTTTATATTTTCGAATAATTTTATAGGTATGAAGCAATCATATGGTTGTCCAAGTAAAGACAAATAAAAGTGATTTATTGAGAACTCGCATCTAATATTGAATTGTAAGATCTTCCGTATCAAAATTGACCCAGATAGTTCGCATCTAACAGAGAAGTTTCCGAAGCAGTTTCTTCTTCAATTATTTGCTTAGTCAATTTTTCGTTTTCCTATTATGAAAAGCCTCGACAAAGGACTGCTTTTTTCACACCATTTTTTTTAATAAACAAGTAAACACTTTTTTTTTTAAACATTCCTTTTACTTCTTTACATAATTACATACCAAATTTTACTGGACGAACTTAACTATTCACAAATTTGGAGGATCTAACATATGATAAACGTCTCGAACGGATAATCCAAAAGGTTGATTAATCAGTGATCCAATAGTTGTATATCTAGATTTTAAGGTTTAAGAATACAAGACTGCTAGCTAGCTAGGCCATATAGTTTGGCAATCTATTGTACGATTTAAATCAAAGCCTCTATATATTATAAATATAAAACTTCTCACGCACTAGCTAGCTAGGCCAACCATTAGATCAAAATTATATAATTTAATTTACAGATACAGATTAGAACAAAATGATTTTTCAGGAAACCTACTAATGTATATTTATTCGAAGTTAATGAGTTCGAAGTAGATTTTGTCACGGGTTTCTTGGCAAAGTTTTAATGAAACAATTATTCGAAATTTTGAACAATATCTGGTCGTCATGAGTAAATTTTTGATCAGTATAACCTACTGTTGAGAAACGTTTATCTTCTTTATTTTTTTTAATATATTTTGTTGGCTTGTTTTATTTTTGACTTTGATAGAATCTTCAAAATTAAGGTATATGTTTGAAGGCGACGAAGAATCTAACGGTAAGCGAGACGTCGCCGTTTCTAGACAGTTCTACGGCATGTATGAAAACTGAAAAGCAATGCGTACTCTAATTAAGGCTTGGCGTAAACGGTAAACACTAGTGTTGAATTTTCACGTTGTTGTAAGAATAACAATTTGAGAATTCTATGCTGTAATCTGTATTGTATATTTCATATTAAAATTTAACACTAATCCCTATAATATATTAACATGTTTGCACTCAATATTCCTAGTTTTTTCTTCAGCAATGACAATTTATACAGTCCCTGAAAATTCGATGTATAATCGTGACCAATAAGACAATTTATCAAGTCCCGAATTCGAATACAGTACTCTCATGCAAGTTGTTGTTCCAAACTACTTCTTTCTAATCTTAGCGTTATTTTTTAGAGATAATTAGCTGAGAGACAAAGATTTTGGAGGAAATAAAATTTTCGGTAAAATGTTGTCGTACCCAAAACAATGTAAATAAGTAGCCCACTATTTGCCTTTTTTTGCCCCTACGCGCTTCTTCATTTCGACACGATCCGGTTTCATACTTGAGACACCAATGTGTTGTGGATGGATGTCCAAAAAACTTTATAGATCTATGTATATATTTTGCATGTTGTCTCCTTCGTGTGCCGCCAACGTTTATCCTAAGCCAGGTACTGCTCACTTGCTTTGTTAGACGGTTTGGATTCGATAATTGTAGTATATGCATTGTAGCATACATATAAGTATACAAATGTTAATAACGCTCTATATATATGTTTACATGTATATAAATGTTAATAATGCTTCATGTACGTGTTTACATGTACACAAATGTTAATAACGTTCTATATATGTATTAACATATATACATAGACCGAGTTATTTAACACTATTATTATTTCTAACGCTTTATGTATGTGTTTATATGTATACAAATGTCAAAATCATATATAATATTCATTGGGTGTCCATGCAATTAGGTTAGTTGTTTAAAAAATTCGAAGAACTATTTATTGGGTGTCCATGCAACTATATGTATGTTAGTTGTTTATATTTTTCGACTGTGTGTCGAAAAATGCATTAAATGTGTGTCGCATCATTCTTATTATAGCCGAATAAGTCTCACTTCAACTGCAGTTCATTTAATATGGTCAGACAGTTATTCAAGTTAGGCGAAGAGGCAACAAAATGAATCCCACGTGCAAGTTGACGATTGTAGTCGGTTATTTCGTAATAAATTACAAACCCGAGCCTCTTTTGAACGTCTTTTGTATCGTTGTCTTGGACGTCCAACCCTATTGTCTCTTAGCTAATTTTCTCCCCCATTTTTACCTCTGCGCTAATTCACCCTATTTTTTAAGCTCATCCCAGGTGTTTTTTTTTTTTTTTTCATCAGGGTGTTGCAAAGGTTTACATCGATTATAACTTCGATTC